GGTAGGTTTGATGCTTGGTCTGGCAGCTTCATACAGGAGAACGATGCAACCTGATATTGCAAAGGTAGTTTCTCAGCTGCTGCAGTTTCGTAACTATTTGGTGGTCGTAAGCTCATATCTTGAATTTCCCTTTAAGTATTTTTGTTGATAGTCAACCCAAAACACTTTTTTAGGATATCCATAGTCTTCCAAATAAACACTACTTTGGGAAATACCTATGCTTTCTTGTTAATTATAAATCCAGATTACAGAAATGGTGGATGATCAACGTCTTCTGAATATCTATATAATTTTTTTGTTCATTTGTGCACCAAGAGATGTGAATATTTCTTACTAGCATAATACTACGTTTACTTCTAAAATTTCAGTTCTAGCACTTATAATCTTTCTCTAAGAACTTACTTTTCTTTGCATAACAGGCTCTCTTTTTCCATGTTCCTGCACGGTACCAAGCTTCATATGCTGAGTTTGAGATACCAACACTTCTACAGGTACATATATATCTTTCTCCTAGCAGAATCCATTGATTTTAGTTATCTCTGCACAAGTGGTGATCAGAGAAAGTAAGACTATCTTTAACTAGTGACATTTTTTTCTAACATGCTATTTTCATCTATTCTTTAGTCTGCAGCTTTAGTCTCCGTTGGCATTCTATTTGAAGGATCAGCACACCTGCAGACAATGCAATTACTTTTGGTAATATCTCCTGCGTGTTTAATTTTTTCACTTATGGAGTTTTTTTTGCCTTATTTCTTATCAATACCACATTCTTTGTATTTGTCTTGTTATTTTTAGTTATAGCAAATAGATGGAAACATGATACATCTGTATATGTCTCAGGGTGAAATCGGCCGCAGAAGTGCAGGGGATAATGTCCTTGAAAGGGAGGGTTATGCTGTATCTGCTGGATTCTCACTTGGCCTCGTTGCTTTGGGTATGTCTTTTTGGTTTTTGGCTACTGAAATTCTGATTTTCTGATTAAGCTGACTTGCTTTCTTTTTATGGCTCAAGGCCGTGGAGGTGATGCGCTCGGTTCCATGGACTCCTTTGTCAACCGCTTACTCCAGTATTTAGGATCAAAAGAGGTTAATTGTCTAATGCTCTGGATTTCACATTAACTGTATTCCACTCTTTATTCCTCTGTTGATTGCAACTGATCATACCACATTGGCTTTGTAAACAGTGTCTATTTTTGTACTGAACAACTACTTGAATTCCCTACAGGAAAGATCTCTCCTTGCACCGTCAGATGAAGATCACAGAAGTGCTGCGCAGGTTTCCTTGCTTATCTATTCTTCACACATTACTTATTGAAGTGCATAAACCCGTGCCTTAGAACACGTGCTGAATCTAATTATGTGGTAATCATTTTTTCTGTCTCAGATAACAGACGGAAGCACTTCCAATGTTGATATAACTGCACCTGGAGCAATAATTGCTCTTGCATTAATGTATCTTAAGGTGGGTCTTGAGGATGGTTTAACTAGATAACTGATTCTTAAGTTCAGCCTTCGCGTTTTTTTTTGTGCGCTTTTCCTGGGGTATGGACTTTCAGAAAGCTTTGTGTAATGTTCGTTGCAGACAGAATCAGAGGTCATCTTCTCAAAGCTCTCTATTCCACAAACACATTATGATTTGGAGTGCGTAAGGCCTGATTTCATAATGCTCCGTGTCATTGCTCGGAACTTGATAATGTGGAGAAGGTATGTTTTTTTTTATCTCGTCTTATTAGGAGTGCTGTTTATGATGCTTCTAAGATCGTAAGTCTAACATTTTTTCGTTTTATAGGATCTGTCCTACATGTGACTGGATTCAGTCTCAAGTTCCTGAAGTTGTCAAAAATGGTATCAGCCACCTCCAAGACGACATGGATGATATGTATGAGGTGGATGTTGAAGCCCTTGTGCAGGCATATGTCAACATAGTGGCCGGGGCGTGCATTTCACTTGGTATATAGTCTACTTTTTATGAGAGACATCTGTCTCTGATATTTCATAAGAATTATGACATATTGTTGTTTCTGATAGGGATGAGATTTGCTGGTACAAGGGATGGAAATGCGCGTGACTTACTTAACAGCTACGCTCTCTATCTTTTGAATGAGGTATATCATCCTCGGAAATGTATCTATATGTTACTCCTCTTTCGTCCCTCCAATGCTAAGAATGCTCTGTGAACTTATATGTTTTGATGTATGTAGATCAAGCCTGTGTCTGCTACACCTGGAAATACATTTCCCAGGGGAATATCTAAATATGTTGATCGGGGAACGCTTGAAATGTGTCTTTATCTTATCATTCTTTCCCTGTCAGTGGTAATACTTCTTTTAAATGTCGTGTCCTACACTTTTCATTTTTCAAGTCAGTAGCTTTATGTTAAAAGGGCTCACTTGGGTAGGTCATGGCGGGATCAGGAGACTTGCAAGTATTTCGGTTATTGAGGTTTCTCCGCAGCCGAAACTCTGCTGATGGACATGCTAACTATGGCACACAAATGGCGGTAAGCACTCTGCAATTAAGGCATTTTCTTTCTGAAGTTGGGATATTAACTTTCTTGTAAAAACATCCTTGTTAAGCAAATTCCTTTTATCCTTATCATTTTAGTTTTTTTGAAATTTGAGACGGCATACTGTTCTTTCCTTTAGGTGAGCTTAGCCACAGGTTTTTTGTTTCTTGGAGGTGGTATGCGAACATTTTCAACGAATAATGGCTCACTTGCAATGTTGCTTATCACTCTCTATCCACGGTTGCCTTCTGGACCAAATGACAACCGATGTCACCTCCAGGCAAGTGTCAATCTATTTTTTATTCGCTCTTTTTTATTGTGTCTGGTTGGTTGCTGTCTCTGTCTGCTGTCATCTCTACAGAAGCAAGAGTTTCTTGCTATATTAAATATTACCAACTTCAGTCTCTTTGTGGATTGCGATAACAAAGACATGCCAAAATTTTCAGCTTTTGTTGTGATATGCTTTGGCCAGAATACATCTGACAAGGCGATTTTTTTTCCTTCCTTTTTCAGGCATTCAGGCATTTATATGTCCTTGCAACAGAGGCTCGTTGGCTGCAGACAATTGATGTTGATTCCGGTCTACCTGTATATGCCCCTCTAGAAGTCAAAGTAAAAGAGACAGAACTTTATTCGGAAACCAGATTTTGCGAGGTTACCCCGTGCATTCTGCCAGAGCGTGCTATTGTAAGAAAAGTTCAACAACTTTCCTCACTTCCCCTGCATACTTTTCTGTACAGAAAATAGACTACACAAGTTTTCTTGATTCGTATGCTTACACTGCTTTATACCATAACATTTGCCGCAACTGGGTTCAGTTTTTTCATGCAATTCCTAGTTCGCCTATTTTATCTATCTGTTTTGTCCGCCTTCACCTTAAAAATGTATCTGTATCCTGCAGCTAAAGAGAATTTCAGTCTGTGGTCCCCGATACTGGCCCCAACAAGTTGATCTTGTCCCAGAAGGTGGTTGATGCATTTACATATATTCCGTTTTTTCTCCTTGCTCATTTTTTCTAGCTAATTTTAATTTTGACCAATGAAACACAGAGAAACATTGGTGGAGCTTTGGGGACAAGAGTGATCCCTTCAATTCCGGTGTTATATATGTCAAAAGGAAGGTAGGAGCTTGTTCGTATGTTGATGATCCAGTTGGGTGTCAGTCCCTTCTTTCCCGAGCAATGCATAAGGTTGTAACGCCATCATATACACAGCTCTCAGATATTCTCATAGACAGTCACAGAGAACTGGATTTTGATATATGCTTTTTGTGATACAGGTTTTTGGGCTGAGAACTCTGGACGAATCTAATATGCTTGCCAATAGTCATAGAGAACTTGATTCTGAGAGCGTTGATCATTTGGTCAGCACCTTCTCATCGGATCCAAGCCTAATAGCCTTTGCACAGTTGTGTTGTGACAAATCCTGGAATGACAGGTAAGTACTGTTTTATCAGTTTATCTGGTCATTGCACATACAGAGTTCCGTAGATTTCTTATCGATTTATAGCATCCCAGAAGGGTTAAGTCTTAACAACCACATTTATGCAGATCTGATTCTGATTTCAAGGAGTTCTGTCTTCAAGTGTTGTTTGACTGTATAAGCAAGGATAGACCAGCTCTTTTACAGGTGATTGCTACTTAAAAGCCACCTAACCCTACTATTCTTGTTGCAGTTTGTTCGCCATATGTTGTTCTAACTTTGAGTATATGTTTCATGTTTCTTATAGGTTTATTTATCTTTGTATACAACCATTGGTTCTATGGCTGAGCTGCTTGTAAAAAGCGAGAGTAATGTGTGCGATTCACTTTCCATCTCAAGCCTGAAGGTACTCTTCTGCGTTGACGAAACTGATAAAAAACTTGATTCACATATTCTGCTTTGGTTTCCTATTTTTGGATCTAATCTTATGTACTCAGGTTGCTCTTGCCTACAACGAGACGGTATCGAGTGGAAGATTGGCATCTTCAGGTGGCTTTGTTCAGTCAATCTTCTTAGCATCACTAGGAAAACGGTGTGAAGAGATTTTGAATTGCTCAACCGAGCTGAAGATTAACTTGAGAGATTACTTGACCTCAGAAGCATGGCCTGATGATTATAACTCAAAGCTGCAGAAAGATATAGTTCTCCTCTCATGGTATTTGAAATGGTTCAGCGTACCATCTCCATCGATCATCAAAGCAGCAGTGGAAAAGATCAAGTCCAAGCGCAAGATCTCAACTTCGGCAATACCATTGTTACGACTGCTGTTACCAAGTACGCATGTTAGTGCTATTAGTGAGATTGATAGGGTCTTTTTCCTCTCTAATGAAACAACTGCATTGTGAAAACAGGATTTGGTTCTTTTCATATGAGCAAAGAGAATCTCGAATATCAATGTACAACGAAAACACAATTCATCAGTCTTGTTTTTTTTTATCGAACTGTACTCAGTACTCACCCTCCTCATCGCTCTACGTACTAACATGACAACTCCCATTCTCTGCTGCTTAGCTATCAAACTCTGTCGTCTCCAAGGAGCATTCCCACATGTCGTTTTAAAGTCTCCTCGTCTTGTGATTCATCTGAGGCGTCAGAAGTCTCTTCGTCTTGTGATTCTTCAGAGGTTTCAGAAGTCTCCTCGTCTTGTGGTTCATCTGAGGATTCACTCATCTCTCGTAGGTTTCCTTCTCGGTACTGGTTCATTGCATAATCCTCAGCGTTTGAATCTTGAGAGTCGTATTCTGATTCATCATCACGTCCATTGAAGAAAAAGTCTACTTCTCCATCCTGGACTTGAACAAGAGGCAACTGGTTCTTGTAACTGGTATCCATCTCTTCACTACTCACAGTCCCATAACAACAATAACAATCGTAGACGTATTCTTCTTCGGTAGGGATACTAGAATGGATATGATCAGCTTCAATCTCCTCAGCTGCTCGTCTTTTGGAGCGAGGGAGATGGAGTTTTTTGGAATATTAGTACTTTTGATTTTGAATAAGCGGACCGATTCATTGGAGGATGCGAACCGAACCCAACCGATTCGAATTTTACGGTCAAGCACGAAACCGGTTTAGGAAAACACGAAACTCGGACGGCATCACTGAAATTTCAAATCATCGGTCATCTTCTCTGACTCTCTCTCTCTTTCTCTTTTCTCTCAAATTGAATCTGAAGTTTTTGTATTCTGCGATTACGAACAATTCCTCTTTCTTACGCCGTGTTCTCTGATCTACGAAATCGTCCTCGTCGTCTCGATTGAGAATTATATCTAAACGATAAGTTGATCGAAGAGTGAGCAATCGGCTCATCTTTCTTTGATTTGGCTCGATGTTCGCCAGGAAATTTCTGCAGAAATCCTCCGGCGGTCAGAAGCCTGCTCCAGCTCCTCCTCCACGGGTATTTATTCCTAATCTCTTTAATTCTACTATAATTGAGTAATAAAGCATCCATTTTGATGCTTCTGAATCATTCTTCCCTTGGACTTTCACTCAGTATACTAGCTTAGGCTTTCTGGGCTCATACGTATTGTTTTTCTCCGGAATTTTGATGCCTATATATACCCAAAGTTATTAGATTTGCATATATTTTCTTTTCATTGAATAGTTTGTTTCATTCTAAAACTAGTCGATCTCAGTCACATTTTGCCACGAATTTAGGACTCGGAATATGTTAAGAGACGAGAACGAAAACAAAAAATGTAATTAATTTTCGATCGTTGAGCTGGGTTGAACTCAGCTCAATACTCGATATTTTAGGATTGAACTCATACCGCTTACCTTATAAAATGCCAGCTTAAATTTCGCTGGGACATGTACTGGCAGCTGTTGCATGGTTACTTTCCTCACCTTAGACAGCTCCAAACCTTTTCCCATGCCAGGAATGTTTGTTTAGCTTAAGATGTTCACATGCAGTATGAATCTTTGCAGGGGTGTTTGATAACCGAAGACTTGGATCCACGTATTGTCACCCACCATGGGATACCTTCGACGGCATCTCTTCTTGCCTTTGACCCTATCCAATGCCTCTTGGCTGTGGGAACACTGTAAGTTCTTCTTCTGGCCTGGCCAATGCTAAGACGGTGTATTTTCTTCAACACTTTTACTTGAATAACATTGTATGTGAAGGATTTTTGATTGAGATAAAGGGGGAAACTCATAAGAAGTTTGGCTAATGGAATTTTTCTTTAGCTCTTTTAGTTAGGAGAGTTCCTAGGATGATAGAATATACCATCTCTGTGGGTTCAGTTTTATGTGAACGTTAAATATAATGTTCTTTTTGCTAACCCTTCACAGAGATGGAAGGATAAAAGTGATTGGTGGTGATAACATCGAGGCGATTCTTGCATCTCCCAAGCAGTTACCTTTTAAAAACTTAGAGGTTTGTACTATTCTGTTGAGTAAACTAAGATTCATTTTTCGAATTATCTTATATCAGTGCTGTAGTGGGCAGAAAAGGTGTTTTTTCTAGTATCCCGTCCTGGATAGGTCAACTATGTTGTGAACTTGCGATATACATTACGGTCCTCCCAATTTGTGACTCCAAGTATATGTAACTCCACTTGACACTTTCTGTTTTTTCTTACAGTTCGTTGAGAACCAAGGCTTTCTGGTCAGCATCTCAAATGAAAACGAGATTCAGGTACCTATTTAATGTGATGTTTGAAGTTTCTGTATTTTCCAGCTGATTCCTTCACTTATGTTTGACCTTCTTCACTCATATCTTGTAACTATCCACTCCTTCATTTTTATCAACAACCTATATGATCGACTACATCAACAATTTTTCACTATTTGTTAGGTTTGGGACCTGGATCTTAGGCAGACAACGTCAAGCCTATGCTGGGAGTCAAACATTACATCATTTTCAATCCTTCATGGCACTGGTTACATGTATTGAGCTTGTTAAAATCGACAATCTGTAGCTATATTATTCCAAATTTCCAATTGACACGTACTATGGTATCATTAACTACTTTGTTATCTCGCTCACAGGTATGTTGGGGATGAGTACGGTATGGTGTCTGTTCTAAAGTACAGTGTTGACGAAGGGAAACTCGTGCACCTTCCTTATTATGTTCCAACTGATGCTTTAGCTGGTATGGGTTTCACTTTCAACGTGATGATCAAATGTGTATAGAAGCTTTATTGAGTTTAAGAATTTAAGGTTTCCAGGATTGAGTCATCAGTTTGTTTCTTAGTTAACTTCTATCTGCCTTCACCAAACTATTTGCAAATTAAATCCTCGGCAGAGAACCTTTTTCTTATAAAGCTTATATGAGTACTATATCCTCTTGGTACTTGAGATTAGATTCAACACAAAAAGACCTTCCATGTTGCATTTTAGTTGTTACTTCACATATAATCCACCATTTCCTCTTTTTGCAGAAGCAGCGGGGCTTTCATCTCCTATTGACTATCCAGTTGTTGGACTTCTTTCTCAGCCTTGTTCAAAGGGAACTAGGTGAGACAAGATTTATCTTTGATTTTTATACCTGTTCTTGACGTGTAGATGGAAAGCATCTGTGCCTCTGAAACTGGCTATCTGAGCTTGTCATAGCATTGGTGAAATCACATATTTAAGACTTATCAGAATAATAATTCTTTATTTTTGTGCTCCCATGTCCGATCTTTCCCCTAATGGTAATGCTTCCAACTTAGATTAGCATCTGAAAATATCGTAGTTGGACATAGTAAAAGCAATTATGAACTTCATGTCTAACTTTGATAGACATTGTTCCATATTTTTGTTATTCTAGTCCTGTCCAAAGAGATAAAACCTTCTTTTTGCCATGCCATTTCAGTGTGTTATTAGCAAGAATCCCTTCTTCTTATGATTAACTTTTATAATGATTTTTAAGGAATTATCCTGCAGATTGTTGGTTGCATTTTCAAATGGATTACTTTTTCTTTGGGATGCATCAGAAGATCGTGTCGTGTTAGTTCGAGGGAACAAAGATCTACCTGTGGAGGGCAAGACAGTCGGTGACTCTCTGGAAGCCTCACACGATGAGCCTTCTGACCTTGAATTAGATGGAAAAGAGATAAGTTCTTTGTGTTGGGCATCAGCTGATGGTTCAGTTCTTGCTGTTGGTTATGTGGATGGGGATATCGTATTTTGGGACTTTTCTGAAGGGCAAAAGGGGAAGCCATCTAATCATGCTGTTAAGTTACAGTTGTCTTCGGCTGAGAAAAGACTTCCTGTCATTGTTATGCATTGGTGTTCAGATGTATCTCGCAAGAATTGTGGTGGAAAACTCTTTATCTATGGTGGTGATATCATTGGTTCTGACGAAGTACTGACGGTAAGAACTCTGATCGAATCAAAAGTTTCATAGTCCCAGATTGGTGAACATGTGCGAGATATAAATCGAGTGTCTTTTTGAATAGAAACATACAACGAAGAGTCACAATTTTTGTTTTAAATGGTAAAAGGGAACCCAAACATGAATTCTTCATACCTTATATAGCCTAATATGATGTATTTTTACTGATCACCTTACACAGATGTTGGCTCTTGATTGGTCTTCTGGTATGGGAGGCCTGAAATGTGTTGGCCGTGCTGACCTGACCCTGAGTGGTTCATTTGCTGATATGGTCTTGTCTCCTATTGCTAGTTCAAGGCAAAGTGGGATGTTTTTATTTCTGCTGACAAATCCAGGACAATTGCAAGCGTATGACGATACCTCTTTGGCTTCTCTGATGTCTCAGAAAGAGGATAATATTTCTGTTTCTCCGCTGCCATATCCGATGGTTGTACCAACGATGGATCCACATATGACAGTAGCAATATTTGCTGCATGTAATGTGAATGATAAGACGTCACTGGCTCTTTCTGAGGTAGTCACTCCACAAATTTTCCCATGTTGTTACTTCCCAGTGTGAGGCTATTAATTTAAATCTTATTCCTGATAGATAGTCTTAGCTGCGAAAGCTCGAACCCCACGTACTCCATCTAGTGAAAGTGCACAATGGCCTTTAACAGGTGGTGTTCCAAGCTACCTTGATGACTACAAGCTTGAGAGACTGTACATGGCAGGATATCAAGATGGTTCTGTGCGAATATGGGATGCAACCTATCCATGTCTATCTCTTATTTATGTCTTGGATCCAAAGGTATGAATGTTGTAACTTTCCTTCTTTTGACGTTTATCTTGATTTGAAGACTCATGAATAAGCTGGTTAACATTTTGATGAGAAGTTTTGCCTGCATTTAATTATTTCATCCTTCACCAATGATCAGGCAAATGGTATTGACATAACTGGAGTAGATGCATCAGTAACAGCATTCTCCTTCTGCTCGAAGACTTCTTGTTTGGCTGTTGGTAACGAATGTGGTATGGTAAGAAGACCTGTTTCTGTTGATACCTTCTTATTCCAGCTTTTAATGTGCGTCTGATTCTTTCTCGCTTTTCTGATTCTGTAGGTTCGCCTATTCAAGCTGGTCGGCCATAAAAGTGGAGGAACTTTGGAAGTTGTTACCAACACTGACAAGCAAGGTTTGGAACTTGGAACTTTACAACGTTGACACTGTAGATTTGTTCTGTTTTATCTCATGATTTACGTTTATTACTTGTAGCTCACCCTTTCCATCAAGAAGATGGACCTCAATGGTTGGCTGCATATTCCTTCCTGAGTTCCCCAGTTTGCACCCTCCGATTTGTACAGTCTACAAGAAGGCTTGCTGTGGGATTTAAATGTGGCAGGGTAGGGATTTAACATCTGTTTCTAAGTCTCGGCATACATCTGCTCTCTCTATTTAAAAGTGTTTCGTACTATTTCTACGTTTCATTTCATATTTCAGGTTGCAATGCTCGACATTGGTGCGCAATCAGTAATGTTCGTTACGAATAGCTTATCTGACTCTGGTTTCCCGATCAAGTCACTCTGTGTGAAATCCTCTCCAGCTCCAGCTGGCTCATTAAGTGGTCCAACTGATCATAACTCGATTGATTCCGACGCTCATGATGATTTAATATTGTGTGCAATGACAAAGGATGGGCAGACCATTCTTTTCGATGGCAATACTGGGAAAATGCTCGCCTCATGCTTGAGACCTCTGAAGAACCCAACTGCGATTTGTATGCACATTCTAGGTAGTTTTTCTAATGCTTGATAAAAGTGTGTTATCGTATATATCTAGTAAATATATATATAATAAGAAAAATGTATTTTGCAGAGGACTGCTATGAAAACTCCGAAATGCCCAGTGAAAACTCAGCTAAAAATCCATCTGGGAAGGAGAAACATGAGAAAAACTCTCATACGACCAGTGAAAGTGAGAGTCATTCACCAGGTGGTGAACAGAATGCTGTTACAGAAACAAAACTTGTTGATCAGAGATTTGCGAATTCATTATTTCTAATGTGTTCTGAGGATGCACTGCGCTTGTATTCTTTAAAGTCTCTATCCCAGGTATATTAGAGGATCTATCTTGATTTATGATTCCTGGAATATCTTGCTGGCTTTTTCTGATAACAAGGATTTGCTTTCAATACCTAGGGAAGTCTTGAGAGCATTACGGAGGTAAATCTTCCAAGGCCGTGTTGCTGGATGGGAACCCTAAAAAAGGATGAAAGGGAATGTGCAGTACTCCTGCTTTACCGAACAGGGCATATTGAAATAAGGTGATGTTCTAATTGACTAGCACAAGTTTAATGTACTTAGTTATCAAATCCAATCTTGTAACTAATTAGTATGATGGACCACTATAGAACCATAAATTGCTCAATCAGCTTTAAAAGAATGATTTGCTTATATGAACAGATCTTTCCCGGATCTTGAAGTTGTGAGAGAGAGCTCTTTGATGTCACTTCTTAGGTGGAACTTTAAGCCTAACATGGAGAAGACAGTATGTTCCGATGATTTCGGCCATGTCGTCCTGGTAAGACTTCCTAATGTACTATCTAGAAGAGAGATTCATCTGTTATTGCCACAATAGTTTATGAATCAAATAAATCAGTGACATCACTGGATGATTACCAACTTTATGGGGCTTTTTAGGTTTGCTTCTGGAAATACGATGTATTAAGTATGCCAAGTTAAATCTTAATGATGAGTTGGCATGTGTAACATCATTATAGAACATTTGGTATCTCAGATGTTGAGGGCTAATAAAGCTGAATCTGCAGGTAAATGGTTGTGAAGTTTCCATCCTTTCGGTTTTGGCCCATGCAAACGGCTTCAGGTACTGGCATACTATTTGCTCAGTAAATTACAACTAGAACTTTTGGTTGCTTAGCTAGCAAAGTATCAGTGAAGTTACTAATACCTTGCTCTGCATTCATGCCAGGATTCCGGAGTCTTTACCTTTGCTTCATGACAAAGTCCTTGCAGCCGCTGCTGACGCTACCTTTAGCCATTTCCCTGCTCATAAGAAAAACCACGTATGCTCTGTTTTAACCCTTGAACCCTTTTTCGTTAGCTCCATGGTTTTGCTATAAAAGTGTCTGTAACCACAGGATGGCGCTCCCAAATTCCTAAGTGGCATTATTAAAGGCTTCAGATCAAGCAATGAACAGAAGGTGGACCAAATACAAGACTTCTCCCACTTGGGGAACATCTTTTCTAATCCACCATACTTAAAGCCTTCTGCTACCGGTGACGACGATGAAAAGATTGTCGAGCTAAACATAGGTTTGTAATATCTATACGAAGTTACTCCTCCCCGGTTTCCTCGTGTGACTAAAATGCTTTTTCTGTAGATGACATCGAGATAGATGAACCTTTAATCATCTCGCCTATAACCGAGAAAGACAAGAAAGAAAAGAAAGGTAAAACATATGTGTTCGCCTCAAGTTCTAGTATCATTGAGAATGCAACAGACGAATCTTAAGGTTTCCTTTGCAGATAAGCGAACGGAGAAGGAAAGACTGTTTGACGGTGCATCCAGTGATGCACAGCCCAAAACGAGAACCGTGGATGAAATTAAGGCCAAATACAGAAAAGCAGGGGTGAGTTAAAACCAATTCGATCAACACAAAAGAGCTTGTTTGCTTCTATATCTAAAATGGTTGGGTAATGTTTCCAGGAAACTTCAGCAATAGCTTCACAAGCAAAGGACAAGCTTCTTGAGCGTGGAGAAAAGCTTGAGGTCATATTTTATGCAGCAGAGATTTTATTTTCATTGAAAAACTGTTACATGTTTCCAAGCTATATAGCACACGGATCCTAACTACAAAACATGTTTGTTTCTTTTTTTGTCTGCGTTGATAATAACAGAGAATCAGCCAACGAACAGCTGAGCTCCAAGACGGGGCTGAGAACTTTGCATCCATGGCACATGAACTTGCTAAGCAAATGGAGAAGCGAAAATGGTGGAACATATGAGAAAGCTACAAGACTTTTGCTTCGCGTGCACGTACCGACGTACGTTTGTGATAATCTCAGCTTCTTCCGTATATAAAGTTAAGTCATCTCATGTTTCCCACAGGTGAAAACTTCTTTAATTTTTTTATCAATTAAATCTGTAAAATAGATTGACCAAAGAGAGCAACCATCTTAACTTGTAACCTAATTTGATCTTTCGTTTCTCTTCTTTATGAGGGCTGCTGTGACTGTCTTTTAAACAAACAAAACACTCTTTCATTATGAGATTTGGAAGAAGAGAGACCACATTGTATTGTGTAAGATAATATTGAGAAATTTCATTAAATATTAATATTCTGAGATCAAATGTACGTATGTATTTCTGATTTTGTTAAAATCTGAGAGTTTATTATCTAAAGTCTAAAGATATGAGACTAGCATTAACATGGCCCACAATGAACCACGTCCCTTGTGTATAATAAAAAAATAACTTATTTGATTCTCGTGGTCTAAAACCTAAATCCCGCCGCATTTTCCTTCTCCTCTGTTTCTGTTATTACAAGACTGTCACATTCAAGCATACAAATCTACTGATGATATTAAACGATGACCTCACAAAGAAGTAACCTTTTGTGTGTCAGCGCAAAGTAGAAAAGACTGATACAGAGACATACACGACGACAACGACCAGCCAACACTACTTCATCTCTCCCTCTCTCTCTCTCTCTATGTTATCTCTTCACTCTCTGGTTAGATAAAGAGAGCAACTTTCTCTTCTTTTCTTCTGGCGTTAGTTCCAATGGCGAGCTGGGTTTTATCACAATGTGGTATCAAACCTCTCCCCAGATTCTACCCTAAACCCACAACCTCCTTCTCCTCTAACCCAACACCCACACTCAGATTCAATCCACCAACTACACCTCCTTCTTCTCGAAACGGGTCCTTAGCCAGAACCAGGAACTGGGCGTTGAACGTGGCCACGCCATTAACAACTCTCAAGTCTCCATCAGAGGAGGAACACACGAAGAGATTCGACCCAGGCGCGCCTCCTCCGTTCAATTTGGCTGACATAAGAGCAGCCATTCCCAAGCATTGCTGGGTTAAGAATCCATGGAGGTCGATGAGTTATGTTGCCAGAGATGTCGCTGTCGTCTTCGGATTGGCTGCTGTAGCTGCTTACTTCAACAGTTGGCTTCTCTGGCCTCTCTACTGGTTCGCTCAAGGCACCATGTTCTGGGCTCTCTTTGTTCTTGGCCATGACTGGTATAACAAACTTATCCTCTTGCTTCCTCTGCTGCTTCCTTTAAATTGTTTAGCCAATTAGTCCTGTTGATTGCCTTGCAGTGGACACGGCAGCTTCTCCAATGATCAGAGGCTGAACAGTGTGGCTGGTCATCTTCTTCATTCCTCAATTCTTGTCCCTTACCATGGCTGGTGAATTCTGCTTCCACCAAACCTTTTCTCTATCTGAAATGAACAACTTTCAGAATCTCACCTTCGTCATGCAATATATGATTTTGTTCTTGTAGGAGAATTAGCCACAGAACTCACCACCAGAACCATGGACATGTCGAGAATGACGAGTCTTGGCATCCTGTAAGTCAAAAACCGTGTTTAAGTCTTTCTTTTTCTCTGTTTACTTACATTAATTGGAGCCTATGTTTATGTGACTGCAGTTGCCTGAAAGCATCTACAAGAATTTGGAGAAAACAACTCAGATCTTTAGGTTCACATTGCCTTTCCCAATGCTTGCGTACCCTTTCTACTTGGTAATCCTTTCGCATCTTACTATAACTACTCCACCTGGTCACTATCAAAGGAAGAATGTCATGTTTCACATCTGATTCATTGTATTCTTGATGCAGTGGAGCAGAAGTCCAGGGAAAAAAGGTTCTCATTATGATCCGGACAGTGATTTGTTTCTTCCGAAAGAGAAGAAGGATGTCCTGACATCAACTGCATGTTGGACTGCAATGGCTGCCTTGCTTGTTTGTCTCAACTTTGTCATTGGTCCAATCCAAATGCTCAAACTATATGGCATTCCTTACTGGGTAACTGTTCTTGTAATTCCTCTGTTTTCTCTTACGTGGTCAAGGTATTTATTGGGATTTCAATCACAATTTAAATGCAGATATTTGTAATGTGGTTGGACTTCGTGACTTACTTGCACCACCATGGCCATGAAGACAAGCTCCCTTGGTACCGTGGCAAGGTATGCAAAATCCACTTCACCATTTTCAGATTCAGTCACTGATGTTGTTGTGATGAGGATCTTATGGTTTGTATGTACTTTTCACAAGTGCAGGCATGGAGTTACCTGAGAGGAGGGCTCACAACATTGGATCGTGACTACGGATGGATCAACAACATCCACCACGACATTGGAACTCATGTCATACATCACCTTTTCCCGCAGATCCCACATTATCATCTTGTAGAAGCAGTAAGTGTTTCCTTTGATCATGTTAAGTAAAAGACCTGCTTCGAAATGGTGTTAGTAAAGTGCTTAACTTTTGCATATCTGTTTTTTTTTCTCTTTGCCCTTTTTGTAGACAGAAGCAGCTAAACCAGTACTAGGAGAGTACTACAGAGAACCGAAAAACTCTGGACCTCTGCCACTTCACTTACTGGGAAGCCTCGTAAAAAGTATGAAACAAGACCATTTCGTAAGCGATATAGGAGACGTTGTGTACTATGAGGCTGATCCAAAACTCAATGGACAAAGAAGTTGACAACAGAAAAGTTTGAAATTTCATTTTGGCCCATTCTTTATCTTCTTTTTGTTTGATGCAAAGCTTTCTCCAGTTTGAAAAGCATTAATTTGTAGAAATCTGTGTTAAATTTTTCAATCAAATGGATAAATGTAACACCAAGATCTTGTTCTTGAGAGCCCGTTGACATTAACCACCAATACTTTTTAACTTGCAGAAGAAAAGAAAAATCACTATTCTTTCTCAAACAGTTAGTTCATGGAAACAAGAGAGCTTGATGTTCGAAACTATAGTGTACAAGATAAAGTAGTATCTTGGCTGTGCTGATAGCCATTAGTAATGTACAGAGCGAACTGCAGTCACGAAGGAGCTTATCTTAGACTGATCCTTCTGGATGCCATCCGTAGCGCAAATACCACTGCTAACATCAATTCCATCAGGTTGCAGGATAGAGAGAGCTTCTGAAACGTTTGTCGGATTAATTCCCCCAGCTAAGAGCCACCCATGTCTGCTTCTGATTGATGGCAACTTAAACTGAGCCCAGTTGAATCCTTTTCCACTGCACCGAATCATCATAATTGTTATTACTTCGGTTGAGCCTTAACCAGTACTAATAAAGGAGGCAGCTACTCTAAGCATGATCACTACTTTAACAATCACGTTCTTGGTAATTCAATCAACCATAACAACACAAAAGAAGAGGAAAGAAATTGAAGAAGTTGTTCCAAGTAAGTACCTCCCACCCGTTGCACTATCGACGAGAATCCAATCAGCGAGATGACAATCCTCTTCTTCAGGAACTTCATTCAAGAGCTTACCATCTTCACTTGCATTAAGCACATATATGACTCTTCTTTCGCGTACTAATCCCGAGAAAGCAGCACGCGAACCATTACCATGAAGCTGGAAGACAACATAACCATCAACACTTTAGAGAAACTTGAGAGCAAAATCGAAAACGACAAAGAGTGTAGACTAAAACCTGAACGAGCTCAAGGTCAGAGGTATCAGCTGCTCTAAGAATGGTGCTCGCGTCATCCTCAACGAAAACACCAACAGGTTTGGCACCACCGTCTCTCGCCACTTTGGAGATATCCTTTGCAACAGAGAGAGAAATGGATCGTTTTGAATGTGGCCAAATAATCATCCCGATGAAATCAGCACCAGCTTCAACCGCCATAGCAGCATCTCTAGCTGATGTGATGCCGCACATCTTCACCAAAGCTCTATCCTTTCTTCTCTCATCATCATCCTTAGGAGCTACGTTCTCTGTTTTGGAAACACTGCAGCTGAATTTCTTGCTCTGAGCGTACCCGACTCTCGAAAAAGACGACACCTTTCGATTGCTTAAAGCTGAGCACATCCAGTAAGAAAGAAGAGATCGATGTTAATTAACCGGAAACAGAGTAAAACACACACAACGTATGGCTAGTGTAATCTCAAGAGAAGTAAACGGTAGAAAAAGTAACCGGGATTGAAGTTTCTGGAGAAATTCAGAGCTCTAGGATGGAGGCGAAGATCTGTGGATATTCCTGAGAGAAAAGAATCAAGCTTTGTTTCAATAATTATAACAAGAAAAAACGAGGAATACCTGTGGACATCTTAATTCCGGTGTCGGAAAACTCAGACAATATTGAATTTACACCCGTCGATGAAATGGGGAAGAGAAGAGGAGGGTCAGCGGAGACGGCGGTCGTCGTACGGCCGGGAACGAGAAACTACCAACTTTTTTTTTTATTAGGTGAAATTAAACCGAACCAAACCGAAATATCTTCTAATAAAATTTTGTTTGGTTTTTGTAGAACCGAAGAAAACCATTTGCTTTCGTTGTTGTGTGAATTTGTGATTAGAGACCTGGCCCGTATAGAAAATTATTCAAGGATTTATTATGCACTTACAAATTGTGCCAAGACAAGATATAGCTACTTAATAACAGGTTTTCGGATAACGTATAATTCAGTTCAATCATAGAATTAGTATGCGAAGTTGTTCATTTAAGTTTGCAAGTGGAAAGCCCTTTAACAAAAAAAAAAAAAAAAAAGAATTGCAAGTGGAACCAAAAAAAAATACAAAAACAAACAATACACTTATGGTAGCGTATTTTCGAAAAGTATTTATATAAGAAATAAAAATAAATAGGATTCTATAAAAAAATGTCAAAGTGTGAACGCGTAGTTATTCGAGGGCACATGAAAAGACATGCGAAGACAACAGTTACCGACATCTCTGGCTACACGGCGGTTCTCACTTCTTAACATCAAAGTGAGCCCATCCCTACTCAATTTGTCCCCCTCTGTCTCTGTGTTCAAAGCACGTGCAAAATGTGTTTGCTACTCTCAAACTTACCAAACTATTCATTTATTTTCAGTTTCTAGTGCAACTTTTGCGGATCAGCTCAGGAACAGAATTCAAACAAAATATTTTAATTAGAAGCAAACGTAACTTTCATCCGTTCGTCCCTGTTAGGCGCAAGCTCATCTCTTTAACTATTCTTTTTAGGATCAAGCTCATCTCTCTCTTTTTTCTGTTATAAATCAAGCTCATCTCTCTTTTTGTCTTCTCCTTAATGCTTTATACGTTTGCAATTTCGCCCTTATTTATACAATGGATAACACTATGCTATATGCTTAATCAATCAACTTTTATCTATTTTCTTAAGCAGAAAAAAAAAAAAAAAAAAAAAAAGAGTATTGATATAGTTTCTAAGTAACACCTTTTGGGGAGAGACAAACATTTCACGAGAAAATTATAGTCAGTCTGCCACATATAAAAAAAAAAACCTGATTTTCTCCACTTTTTTTTGACAAACTTGCTCGATTTGACGGATTTGTGTGCAAGTGTAAGAGCGTACGGATTGTCCAACAATATCCACCAATTCGACTTTGATAATAAATTTTAATGGAAGCATGTGATCCACTACTCTTAACGTGTGGTTTCCAATATATTGAAGAACAGCGATGAAATTAAAGCAACTCGAAGATTTTATTTCGAAATCTCAAGATTTATCATGGCTTTCAATGGTGACAAACAGTTGAAACGTACGTTCGATGCGCTTTTACTATTTTCATCAGTCACAAAACGTACGATGCGCTTACAACATTCAGCCAGTCAACTTCTGAATTTCTGATTGTTTTTTTTTATATCTAAATAAGACTAATTCTTTCATAAACAAACTAAGATCGTTCAAGTCGATATTTCATAGAAGTTTTCGTTAGCTTTTAAAAAGCAAATACCAAAAAAAAGAGTTCTAAAAGAGAATATATTATATATATAAAACATTCCATTGACCTTTTCGATCCTATTGAATTAATAATTATTATCACATATATATACATGTATGCTTCAAAATTTGTTTGTAACAAGGGTTCATGTATGTATTATTGACAGATAACGTTTGACCTACGTAAACAAAATATATTAGTATCGTCGATTGTCTATTAAGAATCTAAGATCTCCATAATCTGTCTTTGGGTAAGAATTCTAAATAACTTTCCATTCAACAATTTCTCTTTTGAAAGCTTTACGTCATTGGCGACGTCATCCTACATACTACTGATTATTAGCCCACGTGGTGTCGAAGCAAAGCAAAATTTTGTGTACCTTATTCTATGCATCTCGAATCATTTATCCAAAGGGTTGACTATTTCTATTTTTGTAGGAAAGATTCAAAGAATAGACAAGAAAAAAAATGCAGAAGCTCTGATATGTCGACCGAACCCGTTGTTGGTGATTTGATCATCTCATCTCCCCCTTTTTAAGGGTTTTCATTTACTCTAATTCATGTGTTAATTATACTTTAATATATCTCTCTTTCTGGAAAATACTGGAACATGAAGAACAAATTGTCATTTTTCAACCATTACTTATTGACAATTTTCCAGAATACCATTTTTATATCAGAAAGTATTATAAAGTGGTTTTATAAGGTTTTAAAATGTATTTATAAAAATTGAAGAAACTATTGTTCACCAAAAAAAACAATTTCATCAAAACATTGTGAGTAGAAATTTAACAAAAAAAAAAATCCAATTTAAACTTAAATAATAAAGCACTTTAGTAAAATATATAAGGTACATTACAGTACATTACAAAAAGTAGTATTCTTGAAATACTTATCTCTTATTGTTATTCCTGAAAAAGAGGTTTCTTCTCAATATTTCCCAATATTTTATATGAAGTTAATATATTTCGAAAATAATTATTATGCAATATTTAGTGAAATTGTACTTAATCTTGGCGCAATCTTATTATATAAAGCTGGATGCGCGCGACGTGGTTGCGACACATAGGATTTTTATAAAATATAGGATCGCGACATGTGTCACTTTTAAGACTATGTCCGTTAAGATCGTGACATGTGTCTTAGGGGAAAATATAATTTAAAAAAAAAACACTAGAAATAGGATAATAAAAAAACGAAATTTAATCTATTTTTTTTTTTTAAATTGTCATATCCTAAAAGAAAAAGGTTTTCTCATTCATCAAATTTATATTATCCAAACACATATATCTTATTATATAAAGCTGGATGCGCGCGACGTGGTTGCGACACGTAGGATTTTTATAAAATTTAGGATTGCGACATGTGTCACTTTTAATGTTATGTCCGTTAAGATCGTGACATGTGTCTTAGAAAAAAAGGAAAAAAATAATAATTAAAAAAAATTAGATAAAGGAAAAAAAACGAAATTTTAATCTTTTATAGTTAAAAGAAAAAAAAATTATATTTTTCATATCCTAATAGAAAAAGGTTTCTCATTCATCAAATTTATATTATCCAAACACATATAAGATTCAAATTAATGAAATAAATAAAATCCTATTAGTACATGAAATAGGTTAGGTTTAGTTAATCTTTTATAGTTAAAAGAAAAAAAAATTATATTTGTCATATCCTAATAGAAAAAGGTTTCTCATTCATCAAATTTATATTATCCAAACACATATAAGATTCAAATTAATGAAATAAATAAAATCCTATTAGTACATGAAATAGGTTAGGTAAACTAAATTTCCTATAACTGCATGGAATAAGTTACATGAACCCCTATAAAAAGAGAGTTAAAGTAGTCTTTTTTTTCTCATTCACAAACTCATCAAAGCAAACAACATGATAGCAATACGTATGATTTTTATAACTCACAAAATTGCGATATGTGTAATAAAATAATGATAATAAAAAAACTAACTAATAATGAAAATGAAAATTTATAATGGTCTGAGTCAAAAACAAAATTGAGAAAGAAACAATATAAATAGAAAACTAACAAATTAATTATCAAGCAACTAACTAATATTAAGAAAATATAATGAACCGATATTCTAATTTTAAATAGTTTAATATTTTCATATTATAGTTTTGTTAGGTAAAAAATTTATTAAATAAAGATTTCATCAATTGAAATCTCTTGAATGGAATAATAAAGTTTTGTTGAATTAATTAATCAGTTGATCATATTTAGACATATATAAGTCTTTCTATATTGGATAAAAATAAAAATAAAACAAATTAATTCATTTTTTATATCATGAATTCAAAAAAATATCAATTACAATAAAAACGTAAAAAGGTTACCGATCTTATTTTATTTAAATATTTTTATCGGGTTTTTAATATTATTCTGTTTACTTTAAAATGATCAAATTTGGTTTAATACTTTTCCATGATTTTATTACAAAATCTTAAAATAAACCCGCGTATACGCGGGTCTTGATATAGTAGTTAATAATAACGAATTATTGTACGGGCTGTTGATTTTTTGAATGAAACCTATCTATAGCTTCTAAACCATGATTGATAAAAAATAAAATTGTCTAGATATATATACTCTATTATACTTTATAAATCTTTTACGGCTCGTACCAATCATACCCCTGATTTATATATCTCTACACAATAAACCATTAGCCCCTACACATTAATCTCGTCGCCATAGTTTGACACGTGTCATCTATTAAGCAAATATGACTTGATTAATCTTAACAGATTTAATATGTAGTCTTTGTTTTGTCGACGGCATTTGGTCATCTAAAATATTTAAAAGTATTACACACCAAGATTGCCTCAAACTCAAAGTAATGCATAGTTTCACAATTCACATGTCGATACAATATATTTGTCCTTGTGTCCCAAAATTAAAAAAGAAAACAATAGTTTTCACACGTTTTATAAATAAACAAAGACGTTACTTTCATCGTCCCGAGCCGATTTATGGATTGTCCTCCCTCCACCACCATTTACCCTTCTTTTAAACTCCTTCCTTCAATCAAAATTCTTATTATCTCTCACAAACCCCCTTCTCTCTCTCTAAAACGTCTCGTGAACAAGAGGAGCAATAGATCAAAACAAAGAAGATGAACAAGAACAAGAAGGATGTGAAGATCGAGATAAAGAAAGGATCGATGGATGAGTGGCCTGAGCCAATCGTCCGAGTCCAGTCCTTAGCCGAGAGCAACCTCTCTTCTCTCCCCGAACGCTACATCAAACCAGCGTTTCAACGTCCCACCACGGCAGAAGACGCTCCGGCCGCGACCAACATCCCAATCATAGACCTCGAAGGACTCTTCTCGGAGAATGGGTCGTGTGATGACGTCATCATGGCTCGGATATCGGAGGCTTGTCGTGAGTGGGGATTTTTCCAAGTGTTGAACCACGGTGTGAGACCGGAGCTGATGGACGCGGCTAGAGAGAGTTGGAGAGAGTTTTTCCACTTGCCGGTCAATGCGAAAGAGACTTATTCAAACTCACCAAGAACCTACGAAGGCTATGGAAGCAGATTAGGTGTTGAGAAAGGAGCCATTCTTGATTGGAGTGATTATTACTATCTCCATCTTCTTCCTCCTCCTTTGAAAGACTTCAACAAGTGGCCATCTTTTCCTCCTACCATTAGGTTCTTCCTCTCTTCTTTAATTATATTCTCCTTAATTCATTTTCTTTATGATTTTTTTTTCCTCCTTTATTTCAAAAAGATACTGTATTTCTTATTTTCTTTAAAAATGCAGGGAACAAACAGTACAATCTTGGGAAATTAACTATTATTTTTTATTAATATTGGAGTATTTTAGTTTTAGGGTGAGAAGGCTCGTTTATCAATAAACAGAGGTCTTGTTTTCCTCTGACGAGGAAAAAACTGTACTAGAATGTCACGAATTTTAACGTTAAAGGCAGTTAACATAAAAGTACTAGAATATTGTTAACTTTTTTTTCTTTAAAAATAGAGAAGTGATCGACGAATACGGCGATGAAGTGGTGAAGCTATGCGGGAGAATCATGAGGGTACTATCGTCAAACTTGGGACTGGAAGAGGATAAGTTTCAAGACGCATTTGGAGGTGAAAACATAGGGGCATGTTTGAGGGTTAATTATTACCCAAAATGCCCTCGACCGGAGCTGGCTCTCGGTCTCTCCTCCCACTCTGATCCCGGCGGCATGACCATTCTCTTACCGGACGATCAAGTCTATGGTCTCCAGGTCCTTAAAGATGACACGTGGATCACCGTCAAGCCTCATCCCCATGCTTTCATTGTCAATATTGGTGATCAAATACAGGTAAATAATTTAATTCTCTTTTTACGCGGATGTATTTTTTTATTACTAGAGTAGATTTAAATCTTTGTCCTTTTCTGATTATTTATTTTCCATGTTGATGATAAAATATATACATATATTTATCATATAAACCGTATGTAAAACATAGTATTAGAAACAAAGCTAATACTGTATCAACTAAGTGAATTCTAATTTACTCGATATATCACATATTGGGTTTTAATCTTATTGGAAAAAAACTGTAGACTTAATATAAAAGGAGATAATAACGTTCCTCTATTATTAGTTGTCGAGAAAAATCGCTTATTATAGAAAAGGACAAATGCCAAAGTAGTTATTTGACAACCAATGAAGAGGATCTATGCTAAAGTTCCACGTTTTAGACATGTGTTTTATAAAACAGTTACGAAATTGCCTTTTTCTTTTTCAACAAAATAATGTTATTATGTCATTATTCCGACAACAGAAATTACTTCCTTCTAGATCTGTCCTGCCAACCGGTTTTTATATAAAACGACAAATTTATAAATAAAAAGTGACGAGGAATTATCAGTTTTACTTTCTTTCTTTCTTTTTTTCTTCTTTCTATTATTCGTGGCTGTCCTTTTTAATACGAAATAAATAGTACAGCAATAATCCCTTCACAGCACATGTGTCCGTTTGGCCGTTTGCCCATGTTGCAAAAAAGGGATATTTCTTTATACAATGTATAACACGATTTTTAAACAAGAACTCCACATGTATTTGTACTACAAATTTTCTTAAATAACACAAATTTAGAATATATTTGATCATTTGATGTGAATTCTGACAATATTACTACTAAATTTGATTTTGGGAGTATAAATATTTGATTTTACCCTTCCTAGACGTCTTTCTTTTCTTTGTAACGGTCTTTACATCTAAATTGAATTTCCTGTTCTATCTGTTTTTTTCCGAATCATAAAAATCACAACTTATGTGTGTGTATGTGTAATGATATAATTGCAGATACTAAGCAACTCAGTATACAAGAGTGTGGAGCACAGAGTGATAGTGAACTCGGAGAAAGAGAGAGTTTCGCTTGCCTTCTTCTACAATCCTAAAAGTGATATTCCAATCCAACCATTACAAGAACTTGTATCCACTCATAATCCCCCTTTATATCCTCCAATGACCTTTGATCAATACAGACTCTTCATTCGAACTCAAGGTCCTCGAGGCAAATCTCATGTTGAATCTCACATTTCTCCTCGTTGATTGTTTTCTTTTCCTCTTCCTATATAGAAAAATATTGATGTTCTGTTGTTTCATATGAAACTACATCTGACTTGTATATATTACCATCTTTTCTTCTGAATTTACACCAGATCTGATTTATATCCAGATAATTAATAATTGTTGAATAATAGAGATGCTATCATACGGTAATTGTCTATGTTGTCATGTTGATATATATAGTATTGTGCAAGGAACAACTCAAGGAATTATAGTTTGGCAAAAAGAAAAAGGAAAAACCAATGCATAGAAAATAACATCTATCAGTATCATTTGCACATTGTTTATTTTGTCATGTGTCGCCATGTTTGAAAAACCTGACTGGTAGTGATCATAGTACAATTTTAGTTTATAAAATTAATACTAGAAATGTATAATGTTGAACTCTTCGCGTCACATGATATTATGAAAAATATGATAATCTTTAAATATTTCTTTATCAACTAGTTACATTAAACTATTAATTAGTTGGATTACAAATGAGGGGGGGATGAGCGTGCGATCGTTTTCAATTTTGTCATTGATGAGTCATACATCAGATTTCTATCTAATAAACTAGTATCTCTTTTGTCCGAATTCAAAAACTCGAGAGATTCGATTTGACTGAGACTCTATATCGAGGATTAGTGCCGAAGAAAGAAGATTGTGTGGATAATATTCTAACAACAAAACCACGTCTCTCTGTTGTGAGCCTCTCATTCCCCATATTATTTTTCTTTGGATTTATCATTTGTTTCAATTTGTCAAACATATGAACTAAATATAGTATTAAATGATAATTACAACGCATGTGTTTTTTCAAGTGGTGGTTTGGCACAAAGTGTCGACTTGGTCTTTTGATAACATATATCTTGTTTAGTAAATGCAAGTTGCATTTCAACTCACACTATCCACGGTTGCATCTTTTTATTTTAGTGATGGGAATAGTCAAAATTGGCGACAAACAAACAATAGTGATGGGAAGTACAAACTGTGTCTGTGTCACTAACTAACCAAACAGTGATAAAGTTGTATCGATGGCCACTTAACCACTAAGTACAACCACTCGGTTAAAGTTACCATGAGATTATGAAGACAACTATTCTTACATAGTAATTTTTTAATTATTACATATTTAAAAGGATGAAAGTAGAGTGTCATTACTGGAACAAATACAAATACAGGGCATTTATATAATCAAAAGTTGATGTCTCTCTTTGACTCCCTCTCACTCCTAATTTATATAACTACCATTTTCTTGGGAATCTAATACCAATTATAGTTATGGATTTATAGATCAAAGGGAAAAAAGATGTTTCTGCAATAATTTTAAAGAGAAAAGGGAGATATATGGACGGAACACAGTGCATAAGGAGAAAGAAGATGACTCACTCACTCACTCACTGTCTTCCTTTCTTAGTGCAGCAAGCAGGGCATTTGTACTGCTTGATGCTCTCTGCTTTGGTTGGTGTTATCTTCACACACTTTCCATGGTACCAAAGTTCACACACATCGCAGCAGATCCAGAACTCGTCGTTTGTGTAGTTCCCTCCACAGCTTCCACAGAGTGTGTCTCCATGCTCGTCTTCTTCGTCTTCATAGCTCTCTTCCATCAGTTTCGGTGTGCTCTTCGCCTGCCCTTCAATTGATCTCTACACCAAACCAATAAACCGAAGATATATAAAACCTTCTTTGCTTCCTTTGAGTTGGGAGTAAAAAAGAGCAGAGAGTGGATTTGTTACCTTGACGCCGTTTTTGGATTTGCTTCCAAGATCCAAGCTTGGTTTATCTTTAGTGGCCTTCCTACCAGTCACTACTTCAAAGAGAGTTGGGAGATCGTTGACCAGACTGAATAAGCGTTTCCTGTTTCATTGAATGAAGCATACATACAATATTAGTACTTCATAAACGCAACATGATAAGATATAATAAGTTCAAAAGTGAGGAATTCTATTCAAAAACTGATGATTATTCTTATAGTATTTTTCCTTGTGGGATCGTAGGGTTATGATAAATCCACTCACTGGAATAAGGATTATGATCCTTCTCTAGTTGCTAGTAACTTTATCTCATGATACTGTCCAAAGTCAGCATTTTTTTCTCGTCTAAGTTATGCAAAACTACAACTTTAGCTCATTATCATTGTCGGATTAAGCTTTCTTCGTTGCTCAAACATGAAACCAAGTGGCAAATCAAGCGAGAGACGATATGGAAGAAGCATCATATATACGAACCTCTCACTGCGATTAAGCCGAGCGCCGAAGTAGGAAGAAACAGAGAGCAACCAACAATCACTGTGGACAGCGACTAACGAGAGCCAGTCTTTACGTTGCATACCATCTCTTGCGAAATTGATCCCAAGCGCTGGCTCAGGGAGCTCCGGAGGCACTTCCTCCGCCGGAAGATTCACTTCCCACGTCCCATTCGGGTGTCCGTACAAACACAGATTCTCCATTTCTGATAAACGCAAACGCAAAATGTTCAACACGGAAACCTTCCAATTCAACCACAAGGACCAAATCGCTCAAAAATGACATCTTTTTATGAAGCTTATCCATGGGAATTTTCTTGAAATCAAACACAGATCCGAAAATCACAATGGGGAAAACCAAAAGAGAAGAAGGTAAAGCTCACATACCCGGATCGCATAAAGAGTAGAATTTGTCAACATCTGGTAAAACAAGCAAGAACAAGAGAAGAAATTACGTAAATAGAAAGCCAAACGGAAAGAGAATGAATTTGAAAGGAATCTAGAAAATATTAAATTAGGAGAAAATTGAGGTTTGTGTTTACCTAAGGAGAGAGCTTTAAGAAAACCAGAGCGACGACCGCTAAAATCCTTGAAGATCTCTTCGACGGTTCGAGGATTAGAGGACTCGGCGGCCATACTTGTAGGGCAAAGAATAAAATTTACAGGAGTATGAGGCTGTTTATATGAGAAGACCTAAATCGGTGGTGTTAGAGGCGAATTGAGGTCGGCATCAATGGATTCCAAACCCCGATGCGTTCGGACATGGAGAGACAGAGAGAGAGAGTGTGTGTTGTTGTTGTAAGAAGAAGATGGAAGTAAGGGGAGAGATGGAGAAAAATAGTAACTTTGTTTTCGTTTCTGATCTCGAGTTTGGTTGCCTCAGCGAGAAGAAGATTAGACTCGAGGCCTATGTTATATGGGCCTGGCCCATTATTAATTTGAGTTTCCCATTTATAACCTTCAAGAGAAACGAATTACTATTTTTTTAAATGTTATTGTACATGATTAATCCAACATACGTTGATTAATTATCTCTCTGTGTTTGATTTGATGCATGTCGAAGAAACTTCCTCTGTCATCATATCCCTGCAATTCAACTTCTTCTCATGACTGAGCTTAGCTCCTCGAGTCTCGACTCTGCCTCGCAGAAGCCAAGGATCTCCACCGGAAACCAACCTCCTCCTCTTACCGAGACTGGACACGTCAACATCGGTGTCTCCGCCGGTGAAGCTCCTCCATCTCCGGCGAGACCCGCCGACAAAATCCGGAAAATAACAGTGCTTCCATTAGTTTTCCTGATATTCTACGAAGTCTCAGGCGGTCCGTTTGGGATCGAAGACACTGTGAAAGCAGCTGGACCATTGTTAGCCATCCTAGGATTCATCGTCTTCCCTTTCATATGGAGCATCCCCGAAGCACTCATCACCGCGGAGATGGGAACGATGTTCCCGGAGAACGGAGGTTACGTCGTGTGGGTCTCCTCCGCGTTAGGACCTTACTGGGGATTTCAACAAGGCTGGGTTAAATGGCTAAGCGGCGTCATCGACAACGCTCTCTATCCGATTCTCTTCCTCGACTACCTCGAATCCGGAATCCCGATTCTCGGCGGCGGGATCCCTCGAATCGCCGCGATCTTTGTGTTGACTGTCGCGTTGACTTACTTGAACTACAGAGGTTTAAGCATCGTTGGTTTCGCAGCTGTTCTTCTCGGCGTTTTCTCGATCCTTCCCTTCGCGGTGATGACTTTCATGTCGATTCCAAAGATCGAGCCTTTGAGGTGGCTTGTCGTTAGCAAGAAGATGAAAGGCGTTGACTGGAACTTGTACCTCAACACTCTCTTCTGGAATCTCAACTATTGGGATTCGATCAGCACGCTTTCCGGTGAAGTCGATAACCCGACTAAAACGCTACCGAAAGCTCTGTTTTACGCTCTGTTTCTTGTCGTGCTCTCTTACATCTTCCCGGTTTTGTCCGGGACTGGAGCTTTGCCTCTTGATCAGAAGCTGTGGACCGACGGTTACTTCGCTGATGTCGGTAAAGTGATAGGAGGAGCTTGGTTGGGATGGTGGATACAAGCTGCAGCTGCGACGTCGAACATGGGGATGTTTTTAGCTGAGATGAGCAGTGATTCGTTTCAGCTTCTTGGAATGGCTGAGCGCGGGATGCTTCCGGATGTCTTTGCCAAGAGATCGCGCTATGGAACTCCGTGGGTCGGGATACTGTTCTCGGCTTCTGGAGTGGTTTTGTTGTCGTGGCTAAGCTTTCAAGAGATTGTGGCTGCAGAGAATCTGTTGTACTGTTCAGGAATGGTTTTGGAGTTTATAGCGTTTGTGAAGCTGAGGATGAAATATCCGGCTGCGTCACGGCCTTTCAAGATACCTGTAGGGGTTTTGGGATCGATCCTCATGTGCATTCCTCCAACCGTGCTGATAGGTGTCATTGTGGCGTTTTCGAACTTGAAAGTTGCAGCTGTGAGCCTTGCGGCTGTAGTGATTGGACTTGTGTTGCAACCGTGTCTGAAGAAAGTGGAGAAAAAGGGGTGGCTCAAGTTCTCGGTAAGCTCTCACCTGCCAGACCTGATGGCGTAAGCAAAATTAGTTTGGATGGTGAAGACTGAAGACCATGGTGCTTGTTGTTTTACCTTTAATTATAAAAGCTTACTCAACGCTACTAGATAAACACTTTTGACTTTTCTTTTCAATGCATCCGAAAATGTATACAATTTACCATTTTTTGGGTACATTCTACACGGCACAAACAATTGTGACAGAAACATAACACACTTACGTTTACTAATTAAATTGGCCATAAATTACTTATAGCCTTGATAGAAAGCTTTAACGGTATTGTGGAGTTTCATGCTTTGCGAAATTCTGCTAAAAAAAAAAAAACAGAATCATTTTAAAGAAGTTATATGAAACAGAAAAAGGAAATCACGTTCATGTTTGATACAACAAACCAGTGTTTTAGCCAAGAGATGTAAGAATTTATGGCATACCGTTAATTCTATCTCCATATCAGCTTTTGATGTACAAACAATAGTCTTAAACAACCAAAGACTATGGAAAGGTTTCAAAGCGAAAAAGATTGACACTTTTCATCTTTGCATTGATTATGAGATTAAACGTGGCATCAATGTCGGGGGATGTGATAGACTTTGGAGTTCATCTCAAGCCAAAGAAACTTTCCATTAGAATCAATAGTTTTTTTCAGCTTAAATAAAATCACATTAATTCAATCTTATTAAAAAGAATGAAAGTTATTAGGTGCAACTAATGTACAATATTCATATTTTCTTTTTCCTTTTTCCTTGTTTTAGTTTCGTGGAGTGTAAGTGAAACACGTGGTTGCACATTCATGCATGTATCATACTCAACAATATTTTTCCATTGTTTTGGTTTCTTGTAGTGTCAATCTCTTGAGTATAATACATGCAAGATTGTGCAACCATGCATTTCACTCACACTGCATTACAAGATGAGATTTGAAGAAGTCTACGTGTCCACTATGTATATAGAGTATTCTGCTTATTGATTTTTTTATCTATTTTTTGCTTTTTAATATTGTTGATTTTTTAGTTGTTTTTAACTTTCTTTCAGATAATGGACTGTTGGTGTTGTGGAAAATTGGTGGCTAATATGACCAGCAAAGATGCAATCTAAGTATCTAACCCAAGATGAAGTGCCAAGTTTTATTACAACATATGATATGCCTTGTCTTAGAAACCATAGAGTTAGTGAACCTGTTATCGTTGTGCGGCCTTTACATGTTATCGTTGTGCGGCCTTTAGATGTCTTTGATCTTTTTCCAAAATAGAGTAGTTCCAGCTTCTAAAGTGGATATGTTTTATTCGACATCATATATACTAAGATATCACAATAGTTCATTTCAACAAGGGAAACAATTTATGAAATTTCATTTTTTTCAATATAAAAATACATATATTGCTGTTTTGTACATATATCAAAAATGCCAAAAGCAAGAGAACAAATCAGTAAAACCAACCAACGGAAAATCACTCTTAATCTCTGGCTTTGAAATATTTTCGGTGACGACGAAACCAAAAAGAAAGATCAAATGTCTGAAAGCTAACTGGACAGTATCAGGTTCAATTTCAAAGCTTGAGAAGCAACAACAATTAGATTCGCGGGTACTTTCTAAACGTTTGTCTTTGTTCTTCGACTTCATTCATCCAATCGGAGAGCCACAAGAGCCCCTTATAACCGTAGTATGAAACACTGACTAGAGCAGCGATTAGCATCACCAACATCAGTACCTTCTTTGTCGCAACACCAAGTTTCTGCAGAGAAGATATATGACAATATGAGACAATGTGTCTTCTCCATATTTTCAACAAGAGATATAGAAAAATACCTGAAGCTTCGAGGTCTCCTTAATGTCCTGACCACGTTCACGCCTTTTCCTTCGCTTTGTTGCATTTTTCGCACCTGGCTCCTCCTTCTCCTAACATGTTTTGATTATTAGAAGATCATCGTTGCTTTGAGAGTGAGATTAAGTCTGAGAGATTGTTTCAGCTTACCTCAGTCTCTTTGACATTGCGTTGTTGTAACACCGATTCGGCCATCTGAAGTTTGCTCTTACAGGTGGAACCGCAAGGGAGAAGGCCGACACCAAACTGATTCTTTGGTACATCTTTAGGATCAGAACCGGATGCCCTGTGTGCTGCTTGAACATCTAGGCACAACCATTCCTTCTTCAGGGTCAGGCACTTGCAACGAACAGCAACCTGATCCATAAACAAAAAAACTAGTCAAGGAGACAAGTAAACAAGAGACCCATTTGTATGTAACATGCATAATAGAGTCTTGGAAATATTTACCTTTTTCCCACACTTATCTGGCAATGGACACTCCCCAGGATGACATATCTCCGGACACAGATGCGTACAGTTTGGCAATTTTCTGCAACAGCAATATCCACTAGTTTCAAAACTCTGGTTTTCTAATCATCTTGTTCAGTAAAAAGAGGAGCTTGGGAACAAGTGAAAACAACCACAGCGTGTTAGTTACCTGTGACAAGGTCCACGGCATGAGCGGGCCTTCGCTTGGTCCTTCTCAGACAATGTATTGTAGTAAATGCACTCGAATGCATGCACCATTGTGCCACAGTGGCATGATCTCTTTACTAGAGTTTTGCAAGGTGCACAATCTTCAGGATGGCATCGTCGAGGACAGGGATGCTGGCATTTTGGTGTTCTCTCCTGTACATTAGTAACGAAAGATAAGGAAGTCTTTCCTCTAACTAACTTACTCCATAAAGAGATTGTAACATTTAACAGATACTATGTGACAACTGTTTATCAACCGCTATCAAGACCCGCAGTATAAGGTAAGATGGTCGAGTAAGTGGTGAGACATTACAGAAGTACCTTTTGACAGCGGAGATCACACTTTTCACAGGACTCACTTCTCTTATCCAATGATGAACTTCTTATTTCCAGGGGATGACATGTATACGAACAGTAATGGTTCCCACATGGAAGAGGGTTTCCACATAAATTATCGCATGCAAATTCAGTTCTGTCAGAGCAAACCATCTGAGCCAACAAAAACAAAAACATATCAAATGTCGGAGAAAACCTATAAAACAAGATCTCAAGGTACACAAATGGCACTTAAAAAAAGTTTGACACTGGATATACATTTGAAATAAACAGTATAAAAGAACTCACCATTCTCTCAGCTGCCAGGTGGTGGCCTACGCAGGGCCTCCAGACAAGCTCTGGACAGCGAGGGCAGGGCGTACCCGGTGTAGATTCAGGCTGAATATTCAACATCTTCTTTGTTGGTTTAATCATATATTCTCGGTTAGGTGGAGGTCTAGGACCATGACACCTATGTCATAAGAAGCACACAAAAACCAATTTTAATAAGAAGGGAAAAGATCAAAAGCAGGAAACAAAACAATGGACGAGAAAGACAACAGCACGAGAAACCTTAGTTTGCACTTGTGCCCACATGGGTATTCTTCATCACAAAGGAGTCTACATGGAGGACAAGCACCATAGTGGCATTTATGTGGCTACAACAAAATAATGAACAAAAACTCCTTAGAATTCAAACATTGAAACAACCACATAAGTGAAATTATTAAAGCCTGTATTCTGATTCTTGTGCTACCTTTACGTTTGGCCCATGCCTGCACAATGGGGTTATGTGACATAATTTACGGCACCGAGGAGGTTTCTGATTTGTTTCAGTGCCACAGGGTACCTGAACCACATCAATCAATTAACTTCGTTGTTAATACAGGTTCAACATACAGAGTTACACATATTCACCTTTCAAATCCTAATTCTCACCTCGAAATGCGTCTCACCACAAGCACATGATATTGTTACCATTATTGGACAAGGAGCACATGGACCTCTGCAATGAGCACAGGAACAGTTTAATCAGTCATAACGTTAGTCTAAAATGAGAAACCAGACGGACAAATAAACTCCAAACTCCAAAGCAAGCTACTAGATAACATACTGGTGACAAGGAGACTGGCATTTATGATTCCTACAACGGAGCTTTCTTCCACAAATCTAAAAATTTAAACAAGAAAAATTAGAAACCAAAGTGTGAACGGTGATACTACATTTGACAAAAGACAGAACACGTACCTCAGAGCATGGTGGACATTCACCATCACAACAACGGCGTCTACAAGCATGACGTCCACAATCCCTCAATATCTGGCATTTCCTCTCACACGCCAACTCTTGATGGCAAGGAACCTACACTAAATTAAGTTCCCAAAATCTCTACATCAACAATTGATTCAACTTTATAGCATGAAGATATCCAAAACATAAAAAAAAGCTCTCTTTCACCTGTTTTTTTGTTGCTGCGCATCTGCAAGACTTAGTAACCACAATCCTGCAAGTCTCAAGGCAAGAACCACGGTGGCACCTCTCCGGACACCTATGGTAGCCACAACCAAGCAGTTTATCACACGTCCCGCCGCACAAAGGCGCCGCAACATCACACGACAAACCTTGGTAGAATTTCTTCCCACAGGGACAGCTCCTCTTCCCCTGATACGGACACAACCCACATTCTCCAGAGTGACACCCTCTCTCGCATACATGTTTCCCGCAATTAAGCATATTCTCACACGAAGCCTCACACCTAAACACTCTCTCGCAGCAATCTTTCTCCTCCTTCACTTTACCACAGCTACACCTGTAAACCGCGCGTTCCCTGCACGGCGGGCACTCGCCATCATGGCAAGTCTCTCTACACTCATGAATCTCACAATCCAACACTCTGTTGCATACGTCTCCGCAAGAGAACAGCTTGTGACCACACCGACGAACGTCTTCTACACCGCCGCAGAAGCATTTAGCTTTGACGAGCTTGGGACAAGAGGCGCAAGGTCCAGGATGGCATAACAGCAAGCAGCAGTGACCACAGTTGTTGCTCAACGGCCTTTCGCAGACCTCGCCGCAGGAATGAGGCAGGATCCATGGATTATCCGCCGGAGGATCCTCCTCTTTCCCGCAGTAACAAAGGTACCGCCTTGGGATCTCTGATTTCTTATACGACGATCGACATTTCGGACAGTTCCAGAGCGCCTCCGGTTCGGTGGAAGTGGACGAAGGTCGCGTGGCTGCACGCGCGGCTTGTAGATCTAAGCACTGGCGAGCCCATGACTGGATGCAGAAGAGGTGAAAGACGGCGAAGCATATGGAAGTGCAGGACCAGGTGGGATCGGTGCGTTTGATGCGCTCGAGACAGATTAGGCACGAGACGCCACCGGAGGAAGAGGAGGCGAGAAACGATTGGATCTTGGCGAGGTCAATGGAGGAAGGAGACGAAGATGAGTGGCAATCGAGGTAAGCTTTGAAGATGGAGTTGGATAGATCATTGTGACTGTGCTGATGGTTCTCTGAATCGGATCCCGAATCCGAATCTGATTCGGAAACGGTGTTTTGTGGTGGCGGAGGCTGTGGCGGTGATTTCCACCGGAAATCGGTTGTGGCGGGTCCGGCCATATCAGACAACCTCTTTCCTCATCTCCTCCTTAAAGAACAAAGACGATGACTTCAGCTACGACAAGACATTAAGAGGTCACGTGACCATTGTAATGTCCGAAAATAAGAGTATCGGTTGAAATTGGGATAAACCGGATCCATCTGTTCCTGCGTATCAGATAAGCAGCATCACTGATACGTTTTTTTGTTCTTTTTGTGTTTTGGGTTTAAGCATCACTTATAAGCTAATTTCTTCTACTTGTTTTTTCACCAAACGAAATAAGTCATTTAACTTCCCTTAAATCAAATCCTCTAACTCGAAAATAGTTTTCAACACCGAAAGATGTCTTACAAGAACTCATGTACAGTGGAAGTCTTAACACAAATCGATATCACAGACCAAAGCATAAGTTTCTTTTGAAAAGATATTTAATCTACGGATGCACATTCGGGCTCAGGGCTTAATGTATTCTCGAATGAAATCTTGGACCTCGACGGTTTCGCCGGTGAGTCCAGATGCCTCGGCTACAGTGACTTTGTTACAGCAATGCGAGAAAGAGAAGACTTCTCCTTCGATTCCAATCGTGAAGTCATTCGCTATATCAGCTGTTGATACCTCACTCCTTGAAGCCCTCAGTTTCTCACTGCAAAACCAAAAAAAAAAACTCGTTAAATGATAAGCTTTGCGCGGGAAGATAGAGTTATCTACAAGACTGGTTTGTTAAGAAAATTGGAAAATCTTACATTTCTTTCTCCATCTGCTTCCTGATGAACTCCTTGGTGTGTGCGGTGAGTTTATCTGTCTTGTTACAGCAAAGGAGGACTGGTATCTTCTTCTTCACAACATTCGCATTGGTCAGAATGTCGTACAGGTATCTGTCAGCATATAAAACCACGTCAGTGCCAGCTCATGCTTCCAACAGATACAAAGATGTCTATAGTGTGAGTGTGAGAGAGAGAGAGAGTTTGAAATTTACTCTGAAGCATGACGACAGTTTGTGAGGAACTCCAAGGCATCCACAACAAACACAATGGCAGCTGCTTGGGGCAAGAATTCATCTAGCTTGGGTCGAAGCCGAGAGTGCCCAGGAACATCAACAAGATGAACAGGCTTGACTTTTCCTTTCTGTCACATAGAGATAAAACAGGAGACATGGATTGATAACGTGTTATGCATGTGTTGTTCAGAACAGGCCAGAGTAAGAGTCTTTACCGTAGTATTTTCAGTGTGGAAAACGAAAGTTCCTTCATTTGGTTCCATTGATGTTACAGTTCCCTGATGCGATGATCCATCTCGGAGCTGTCAATCAAACAATCACCATGTTATAACTGCTAAATATTCACCTAGTCACTCATCGTGACTACGACAACAGCCAATAGCCACACAAAAAGATTTCAATATGAAGAAAGCAACTTCAAGCCAAAGCACTCACTTGATAGAAGAGCACAGTCTTTCCACTCCCGCTAAGCCCAGAAAGGAGTACAGTGTTGGATTTGGTACGTCTGACCAAGCGAACTGCAGGAGCCAACAAAAAAACGACAAGTTTAAAACCAAAAGAATCAAAGTTCTTTATGTATAATCAAGGGAGATCTTGAACACATGATGTAGATTACGTACTGGAAATGAGCAAAAGGGTTGTCAGCAATAGAACACCAATAGCAGCATACAGCTGAGTCGGTGGTACTTGCTGAAGATATTCAATTCCTTGATGCGACCACTGCTCTGCCAGAATTTTGAATTCTTCCAACTTCTCCATTATCTTCTATCTCAAATTTCACTTCTTCTGCCAATCTATTGAGCTATCTGTAATCTGCATCCAGAGATGTAATTTCATTCCTCTATAACATAACAACTAACACAATCTGCACAAAATACAGGAAGCGTCGAAAACAGATTCGCAACTGGTGATCTACGATATGCCTACATTGTTTCCCTGCTTGACCAGGTGTCACAAAAACGAATGGATTCCTCTAAATTTAACATAATGGCAGAATTTAGAGAAACGAGTGTAAAAGTCAATTCAGATCTAATTTTACTAAGAGAAATGAAAGGCTTAGATGGAGAAGACTGTAACGCACCGATGAGAGAGGCAGAAGATAAGTACAGCGAAGATCACGATGAGTCTGAGACGGAAACGACCGTGGAAGCGGAGGAGACCTCGGCGACAATGATTTAGGGTTCAGATGTGTTTTTCTTATTTCTTTTATTTTATTATTGTTTCCTCACTAGTCAACACAAATATATGAATTTATTTCAAAATGGGCCGACCAAAAGCCCATCTCCTTGAGTTTCGAGTTAAGAGTTAAGAGTTAAGAGTTAAGAGAACTTTTCACGACGTCGTTTCATCTGAATCGCCTTCATTGCTTCTTTCTGCTTCACTCCGACGCTCCTTCCCTTCCCGCTCTTCTGCATCGCCGGCCGACCAAGACAGATACAGTGAGAGAGAGAGAGAGAGAGAGAGAGAGAGAGAGAGTATGAGATTTAACTTCGAGGAGCCAAAGGATACGCCGGAACCACGGCGATCTCCCACGCCCAAAGAAGCTGTTCAGTGGGTTCCTCTCCAGAGCCACCCGGTTTTCTCTTCTATCCCCTCCTCCCAGGATGAGCCCGCCGTGTCCCAGCGGTTTCCGAGGAATTTCATGGCTTGGGACGGAGACTCGCGGTTATACTACTGGGATTCTAAACGATATCTCCTTCACCGATTGTCTCTGCGCTTGGGTGAACCTGAACCAACCTCCGTCCTCGCAGCAGTCCCGTCCAAGGTCTTAAATCTCTCTTTATATTTTGTTTGAAATTGGAAATGGATTCTTATAATGTGATTGTTACTGACATTTTACTGAGTGTGAGAGAATTTAGATTTAAGTAGAGTTCGAGTATCTAAAAGGCTAAAACAATTTTCTTACTGATGAATGATATATCATAGGTGATGCAACCAGATCTCCAGCTGACATTTTCCGTTAACAAAATCTCCGTCAATAAGTCTGGATCAGCTGTACTTCTTGCCGGCTCCGATGGGATATGTGTAATGTACCTATTTGGACGCGCTTCTGCGGTTGAAGACAATGTTATTTGCAGGTAGTGATTGAGCATTGACCTAATAAGATTACGATGTTACCTTAAATTGATAGCCTTCTGCTTATACGCTTTCACTTATATGATCTATGGGGTTTCAGGGTTGTTTCTATCGGCTCGGAAATCTATTCTAGTGGTGAAAGTTCCGTACAGTTGCTTCAAGCATCGTGGCACCCTGATAGTGACACCCATTTGGGAATTCTGTCTTCTGACGCAGTTTTCAGGTACCAAATCTCTTGAGTTGATGTGCAATATATTGATAAATGTCAATTTATTGAACCAAAAGATGTTAGAGAAGTTCTAGTAACAATGGTTGTAGATTCTTAACTTCTTGGCATGCAATGTCATACTATGTTACTACCTGGTTCTATGTCTCATTATGAAAGGCAATTTCCATTGACGTACTGCTACAAATGTTTTTGCTAGACTTTTCGACTTGTCTTCAGATGCTGACCTACCAGAGCAAGAATACTATCTACAGCCCGTTGAGCCAGGGAGATCTAGGACAGCTTCATCAATTTATCCTGCTGATTTTAGTTTCGGAGGAGATCATCTGTGGGATAGATTTACTGTAAGTTCAGTACAAATTCTTGTGTTACTTGTTTGAAAACTAACGGATCCTTTAGGATTACATGTATAGGTCTTGACCGAATCCTTCAATTGTGCAGGTCTTTATACTATTCACTGATGGTTCAATTTATATCCTGTGCCCAGTTGTGCCATTTGGAAGGTAGGCAAACTATGATTCTTTCCTGATTTGCATTTCTCTCTAACAATACTTGGATACGTTTCTCTTCGTATTTCGCTTGAATTTTTGTACCTTGTATTCTGAGTTTCGCTTATAATGGTCCTGGAGGTTGACTGAGCTTGCTTCGTATGTATGTATTTCAACAGTATCTACAAATGGGAATCAGTAGTGGAGATTTACAATGATGCTAATATGTTTGGAGTTAAGTCGCCCAACTCGTTAGCTGTTAGCAACTCCAGTCTGGCAATTGATTGGCTGGAAGCTGTATTTCCAGATTTGACTGAACAAGGAACCAGAGGTGACAATATAGTGGTAGTGAAAGCTCATCCGTATGCTTTGCTTGATGCATCACTGGCTTTACAGGTATGGATTCCTCTTCTATTTTAGCTTTGCTGTTATGTGAGATTTTTGAAGTGCTCCAAATCATAGATTTTTAGCTGATTCAGCAATGTTCTAGGTTTGTACTTCATTAGCCAGTGGCGCTCATAAGTGGTTTTTGTGCATCTCCTTGGAATGCTGATCCTTGTTTTCCTTGTGTACAGGGCCCTCTATATAAAGCATCGAGTGGTGAAGGAGATGAAGATTTCGCTGTTAGAGAGGCAGAGTGTAAAGGCCGAGCAGTGAGTCTGTTATATAATCTTGTCAGCAAAGATTCGATTCTGGTAACTGCTTGGAGTGGTGGACAACTACAGGTTGATGCTCTGGTCGATGAAATCCAGCCAGTTTGGATCTCTGGAAGCTCATCTCGTCTCCGCATGAGCTCCCACCACAAGATTGAAGGAGTTGCAATGATTTGTGAGTCAAACGTGAGTGAGCTTCCTGTTGCAACTTCAAACCTGCCACTTGATCACACTGTTTGGTTAGGGCACCCGCCGCCACTGTTAAGACTGGCTATGGTTGATTTGGCTCTACCAACTAAGCGTGAAGGTGGCTCTCTGGTTACCTTGTTCGCTGACTCCCTTTTGCCAGAACGAATATACTCCCTCCACGACGGTGGCATTGATTCAACGGTCTTACACTCTCTTCCCTTCACAAGTCAGGCCACGGGAAGAGATGAAGCACTGAAAACGCCGTCTGTTCACACTGTGCTAAGTACATGCCAAGAAGACTCCGCCGCATCTTCTCTGTTGGGCTTTGTGCCTCTGTCGGATTCGTTTGGATATTCATGGATCATTGCAGTCTTATCCTCAGGAGAATGCATTGTGGCAGAGATGAAAACTTGGGATCTCTTGCTTCCCATTCATGTCAGTACAGATAAAACAGAATCCTCCAGCGCAATAGAGAAGAAAGAGCAAGATCCCTCGTGCATCATAAGCAAGGAGCTCCTTGCAGGTCCCAAAGTTAGAATTGCTCCCCATGCTTTACCTAACCAACGCTCAACTCCAGCCAATTCCGTAGAAGGCCGATCAGTTCTGCATCACTATGTCAAGCTTTTCCATGAAAACTACGTCGAATATGCACACAAGGTGAGAAAGAAGCAATACAAACCCATCAGAAAAGCGTCACTGTGTTCTGTACTCCTTTTCTTATGATTAATAACGAGAATTCTCCTCTCGTTTTATGCAGGTCTACTTTGAGCTGCAGCATCATGCTCCTAACCTGAAGAGAATAATCGATGACCAACACCAGCGCGTTTCTGAGGCAAATGAGAAAATGTCAAAAGTTGAGAAGAACCAATCCTTGTTGGAGAAAAGGATTCACAAAGCAATGCAAAGACATGATTCTCTTGAGCAACGCTTGCAACGTCTCCGTAACTTGCCTGGTACACACAAGAAACCTCTGACGAGAGCAGAACGGGATTTCAAGTCGGAGCTCGGTAATTCAGATATTTTCCGTACATCTTTTCCTTGAGAGATATAATCCAAAACCCATCTCATCATCTTTTCTCAAATGGCATATTTGCAGATCAATTCGCGGGAGTTGAGGTGGATGCACTTCAATCATCCATTGAAACACTGAGAGCAAGAGTGAAAAAGTCCGCTCAAAAGTCTCCTAAAGGAACAGTCGTTGCGGGTACTCAGAGAAAGCAATACTCAAAGAAGAACTACATTCAGGATACAGAAATGTCGCATCTTCAGTCCACACTCGCCAAGCTATCCCTCATGAACAGCGATAACTCCAAAAAGGTCAAGATTGTAGAATCGGCACTCAAGTCGCAAGAAAGTAGTTTGATGTAAGTCACTCTAACACTTGGACGTATTTGCCGTTTCCTGGACTGAATAGATTCATTTCAAACTTGATACTAGTTTACACTAGATGTTCTAACACTCCCCTTGTATGTTTTGTCTGTTTATCAGACTTAAGTAACGTAAATGTCTATCTTTTGATATTTAAGCCACTTATATTGAAAACATTGAAGCAAAATAGATTCACGCAAACATAAGGTAAACAAAAGTTTTTTTTTAATATATACAGTCATACAGAAGCTAAGGCATTATAAAGTAATGGTACTTTTATTGTCCAACTCTAGACCCGAAACGATAGAAGAAGAAAAAAGAAGTTAATCCTGAGAAATGACTGTTGTTCTATAAATAATTTATGATTGTCTCTTCATCTTCAAGTAGCAGATAAGCCACCATCACGGCGCTTGACAATGATCGGATACCTTTTCTGCGTTCTTGTAGTTGGAAAGAAAACTAACTTGTCTTGCTCTGCTGGAACCCAACTGTCGAGAGCATTAACAATAAAACAAATCAGATTTTAGATTTTCAATAAAATGAAAACAGAACATTATTAAAATGTATGGAAAAAAGGATTACGTGAAGCCGGTCACTAGGCGGTGAAGGAAAACAGAGAGAGCAACCCTAGCCAGCTCGTAACCGGGACATAGCCTTGGTCCTCCACCAAACGGTGTGAACACATTAGAAGGGCTTGTCGTTACCGAGTTGCTCTGTTCATCAAAATTGCATTCAGTCAATAACTAAAAAAATCAAGAATGCTTGAGATACACTCAAACCAACTTCAAGAACGTGAAAAGGACTTAGAATCAAACCTGCCATCTCCAAGGGTTGAAAGTGCGAGCGTCTTTGAAGTGGTTTGGGTCTAAATGAACCGCTCTAAACGATGCGAAAACTTTCCATCCTTTCGGAATCTTGTAACCTGGTTTTCCCAGTTTCAACATGTAAGAATCAGAATATCGAATCATTCTCATTTTGAAAGTTATATTATTTTACCTTTGATCTCGACATCCGTCATTGCTCGTCTGAAAACACCGCCGATGATGTTAGCCACTCGCAGAGTCTCGTTAACCACCTATTATGAATCAAAATAGATATATAAGAGATTAAAGAGGAATGATTAAAAAGGATAAGACAAAAGAGATAATAGCTTGAGGTACACTTACACATTGTGTGAATGGCATTGACTTGTAATCACTCCACTCAAGACTCTCCGAATCACTCTTCATTGCCCTAATCTTTTCATGCTCTTCCTGTTTTTTCAACCAAACGAGTATAAAGTTAACCAATGATAAAAGAAATATGATTTGAAGCAAAATAAAAACCAAAAAACAAAAACTTTAAGGCCAAATTATAATTAGGTCACAAGTCCAACAGCTTTGACCCGGTTCATTGGCATAGATTTGGTTCTATTCGGACTAAGCGACGACGCACTAAATCTAGTGACTATAAAACCATTCTTAAAAACAAAATTAGTGACATCAACAAATAATTAAAATAAAATATTAGAACCAATGATATTGGATGAGAGCTTGTCGGTGACAGCAGAAACATATTTATGATCATACTTTTATCTTTAATGTAAAGAGAGATTTATTGGAGAATATTCGAACAAAAAAGAGGATGAAGTTGTTGGCAAACAATAAAAAAAAGAAGGAAGATGAAGTTTGGTAAAAGTGTAATTATGCGTGCGGTTCAGGAGACAAACTGGTCAAATCTGTGAGACTGTAACTCCTTACTTCAACCAAATTTTCACATTTAAAAAAAAAAAAAAAAACAGAGGTTATGATGTTGTCTAGGTTCGAGAATGACTCTTTTGACTTTTACGGTAATTTGTACCCTTTGCCTGTTTTTTGTTGTTTCTTTCTTTTACACTTTTCACCTTCAAACCCACTTGATAATATCCTTAATTTAGAAATGTGAAATTGATCGAAGAAAAAAAAAAGAATGTTACACTCACGTCCAAAAGTAATGCAAATTTTAAAGTATACCGCACGGTACATTATCTAAAACTCAATTTTTTTAAAAAGGTAATGGAAATTGTGTTTTTCTCTAACGATTTTCAAACTATTTTAGAAGTTAATGGTTGCTTAAATATATCAATAAATCATTTAAAGTACTTATTAGCACGTCTAGATCGTCTTACCCGGCCAATGTAGCGTATTTTAATGTTCTTATTACCTAACCATTAATTAACCAAGATTGAAGGCTATATTCAAAACATTATTCTAAAAATAAAACAAAAAGTATACTGTATAAATAAATTATTAGTAGCGACCGACTAAAGTGTACTGTTGCTAACTTGCTATGCAAACTAGTAGTTCATTGAGAGCCAAACCTAAGCCGTTCATTGATGTGTACGTATGCTTCGTTCTCTCTTTAAAGAAATGGAAAATGATGATAATAATAGTAATATATATATTTAATGGTATTTTAATACTTATTGCAATAAATCGAGCCACCCGTGTGAGATTTAAATGATGGAGAAAATTAGAGACCAGCATTTACATCATTATGCTCCCGTTTTGTAGTTTCTGTCCCTTTTTCATTCACAAGAATTTTTTATTTTTTTCCAAACTACTTCTTCTTCACATATCTTAATAATTGAATAAAATGAAATAAATTTAAAACAGAACTATAGTCCCAAAAGCGAAAGATGATATATTTATATCGTGACAATAACACATCAACGTGTTACAGATAGAATTGTCTTCTCTAGTCCAGAAAACTCCCATTTTTCACTCTTTTTGTTAATTGTTTGATAAGGCAAAAAAGAATTTTAATTTTCTTCAATTTAGAAATCAAACCCTTTTTGATATCCTAAAACTCAAATAAAGCAGCATAGTAAGCATGGACAAGTGGTCCTAAAATATCGGTTATGCTTATGCATGCATCAAGTAGTGTAGTAAATACTGATCAATAAATCGAATCTTAAATTAAAAACGTTTTTCCAAAAACACTAAAATTTCGATGATTCACAATCAATCAAACCAACCACATAACACCTAAATTTCATCCATACGTGTCGTGTTTCTGATTCGCTATGCAAAATATTTTTTAAATAATTCAATCAAACACGATTCTTCTAATAAGATCGAATTTTCTCTAAAAGATTTACCTTTTCGAAAAAGAAAACCAACCAAAAAAAACACACACAAACATATAAGTAGAAAGTTAAATGCTAAAAATAGAAGATACCTTAAGCTGAGCAAGAGCTAGAGGAGTCTCGGTGAGAAACTTGACGGCGAGAGTCATGATTGTGGAGGTTGTTTCATAACCGGCGACTAGCAACGCCACCAAGAAATCAACAATCTCTTCATCGGAAAACCCATCGTCAGCCGCAAGCAACGCCGCAAGCATATCTTTCTTTCTCTCCGCTCCTTCTTCCTCCTCCTCCCTCCTCTTCATCACCACCACCGTCAACGCCTCCGCCACTTTCCTCCTCGCCTAAAAATACATACAAGTAAACATTAATTAGAAAAGTCTACAAAATGATTAAATTACAAAAAGAAAGTAACAAAGAAAATTAAAAATACTTTGATGGCTTTGCGGTAAGTAGTGGACAAGAGAGGGAGAGGGAGAGAGAAGAAGCCTTCGATGACAAGAAGATACTCTTTCCTTAAGCTCTCACTCCACTCCCCTGGATCAAAGCTCATCAACTGCTTCACCGTCAGCTCAAATGTTATCTGCATCATCATCCATACATACATACGTCAGCAATATAGTATATGCATGCGGTGACTCGTGCTGACTCACTGAGTTGCCAACTCGGTCCGGCTATATTATTAATAATTTGTGTAGGATAAAAAATAATAATAAAATAATGTTTTTGGGTAAATTTGAAGGGATCTTTTGTTTTGGTTACCTTTTTGGCTTCTTCCATAAGGAGAACACGAGAGGACCAAGAATCAAGATTAAACCGGACTAACCGGTCAATATCAAGCATGAGATGATCTTTGATGATGGAAGAATTAGCGAAGCTCATGGTGAGAGAGTGCATACGTTTATGGAGAGAGCCTTTCATGAGAAGCAGAGAGTGTTTCCCCAAGAGGTTACATATGGAAGCAGGGTAAGAGCACTCGAAGAGCTTCCCTTCGTTCTGGAGAACAAACCGGTTCGTTTCCGGGTCTGCTGAGAAAATCGTCGGTTCGCCGAACACATGCGTCATAAAAACCGAACCGTACCGGGCTACTCTCTCGTCGATGAAAGGCTCGGGGTTCTCAGTCTTGTAAGCTCCGATCAGCTGCAGAGTCTCGCCTATCAGAGGAAACCCGAGACTTCCCGGAGGTAAACCCATCCGGCGGTAACGTGTGCGGCGGAGGAGGAGGAGGAAAGCGGCGGAGACGGTGGAGAGGAGGAGGAGGAAGGCGGTGAAGGAAGAGAAAGCCATTGATGATGATGAGAGAAGAAGAGAGGATGAGGAGGAAGAGAGAGTATTAATGGGAGAAGGAGAGAGTGGGCACACGGGGGGTTTCTGCATAAAAGTAGGACCTTTCATCATTATACTCTTTTGCATTCTTCTTCATTTTTATATCTTTTTTATTATTTGATTGTTTTTTTAAATTATGTAGCATTCAATATTCTTTAATATGTGAAATGTTGAAATAAGAAAATAATTGATTGTATTAATTAATAATTATAGCATTCAAAGATTTGCCTGGTGTTTATCCATAGATTTTCAAAATTTTGATGGGATTTTTCTTTCTTTCTTTAGTTTGATGATATGGAGTCTTAAATATTATCAGTTGACCAAAGGCCAAAAATATTAGCTATAATGAAATTGTAATAATTATTTATATCTATTTGTGATGGTATAACATTTACCAACAAAACAAAGATTTAATGTATTTCTATGTATGAAAAGTTATAAAAATATATCAAACTTAGAGATATCGGGGAATTTGGTTCGATTTATTACATTTTTTTGTAACTTGTCACCCTTTATTTTAGATTGATCTTTTACCAAGCAATAGAGGAGGTTTCACACCAATCTTCCAGCTGCTACATCGCTGATTACTCAGCTTTCGACTTAGTAGTCATTGCGTGATAAGTAACTCATCGAATCGAATGATAGGCAAATTTGGGCTCACGTGACGATAATGAACTTGGTGGCCCACGAACGAGGACGATTGCGGACTTGCGGTGTTCCAAAATCTGAGAGACCAGTTTATTTTGATTCATGAGTTAAAAGATAGATTATCTTAGAAGATTTATAGTTAGGTAGAGATGGATTTGGGATGCTATTAGGCTATTTTTATGGGAAGTGCAAAATGGTTCACACGATAGAGGGGAATTTCAAAGAGGGAGGATAAGTTTAGCAAACAAAGCAAAATGACAAGTACAAACTAATTTGATTGCGTCTTGACAATTAGGAAAGAAGCTATTGCATTACAAATTTACAAGGGAAAAAATGGATATTCGGAGAAAAATAATGTATACTAACATAATTAGCTTCCCCAAAAACAAACATGGTTATGAGAAAAAAAGATAAGCGAAAACATTATCTTTCGCACAAATCTAAGAAGAAAAAAAGTTGATGAAAGAAGAGTAGCATGTGCATTGTTGGTCCACAATTTGCCTATGAACACTTCACATGTCTCTCTCTTTCCCTCACCCAAAGTCCCCATTTCATGAGTTTCCCATCATCTCTTTCTTTAAAAGATATATTTCTTTTGCTAATAAAGTTAGGTCTCTTCATAATTTATTAGTCATAATACTAATTATGTTCAGTACTTCATGATGAGTTTTGATGTACTTACATGTGACTTTTACGCGTAATACTTTTCAGGACATGATATAGAAAGGTGGGTCGACGATATTTACATTTGAAGTGAAGGATTATAGATGTTTATCAAGTTAGTCTTAATCAGTTTGGTTGGATTTTGGGTCTTCTTTATTAACTACCCTCTTGTATCGTATCAAGTACTGCTTTAGAGTTCTCATTTTATTTCTCACTGTTACATACTAACCTTTCTCATCCACTAGGAAAAGAACGGATTAGTTTATATATTCAAAACGAAAATGGTTGAATTAGTTTATACACCCAAGAAGAAGGGGAGAATGGGTCAATGGAAAAAAGAGCATAGAGAAGAGTAAAAAGCAAAGGAGGAGCTATGGAAGTAGTGATTAGCAACACTTGCCTCTCTTAGCTCTAAGATTAATTTGCCTTTTATCTTCTCTTTCTTATATGCTATGGAATCTCAGTGCACCCCACCTAAGATCACATCTTCAATCATTTATAAGTTATAATGCATCGATCTAGTAAGATTATATTAATTAACGTTAAGAATACGACACTAAGATCTTACTTCTAAGTAAAAGCTACTTACAAAAATGACATCAAAATCGTATAAATACAAACTTAGAACTTTGAATGTTAAAAAGAAACAATCCACACACGTCATGCATGAATATCACGTAAAGAATTGGATGTCACAACGCTCAATTAAACTAGATGACTTGGCCACAAAATTTACATAATTCCATTATTATCACGTCTAACCTTTTTTTTGGGTAAAATAATCACGTCTAACCTTCGATGCATATATGTACCACTTGTAGTTAACCTGGTGGTAGCCCAACTTAATCATCTCATAACAACTATTAAACTTATTTAGTAAGAACTTGAAAAAAAAGTGTTGGATATAAATACTGTAGAAGCTTCTTCACATGTTATCTCATTATCTCATTTAAAAGCATGTCTATAGACCTAAATATCCACACTGCTGCATTATTAGGCTCATTAGTTATTTGGCATCTATGTGAACCTTGGGATATATGAATATCAGATGGCTCATTATCACAGTACAACAAAAATATACTCAGTGAAAATCTGTGGCAATTACCTCATAATTAAAGATCCCAACTCGAATAAATTTTGGTAAAAAAATTAAAGAGGGTCCAAATTCTAAAGATTCAGTGTCTATGTTTTTGTTGACCCTAAACCCCATCCTCATGTTTATTTCCTTCCTCAACAAAGCAAACAGCCAAACACTGAAAGGCGAATGCTAAATGCAGAAATAGTTCTCACCAAGTGTTTTTAAGATATATATAATATTGAAATGCCAGTGGTTTTTAAATTAGTGTTCTTTTAAGTTGCTCCTCAAATATTTATAGTATTTCTTTTATTCTTCTTTAGCTAGCACACTCAAGTTCACAAGCTTTCTTTCCAATATCAGAACAACAAGATACAGTAAAACATACTACATAACAACCATTAGTTTTATGGAATTAGATTTTTATTAATTTCCAACTCTGCTGAAAAATTGTTAACGATACAAGGACCCCATAGTGCCATACAAAGATGAAACATTATTTACACAGAAATATTCTCATTAACATGTGATGAAAGCGAGGTCATCATAATCCGATATGTGCCTTATTCTATTATTGTTAGCAACATTATTTTAATCAATATTTGACACGTCTTCATGCCCATTAGTTGCTATGATTATATTGTTCAGCCAAATTAACCAAGATAAATACTCCTTTAGTTTGTTAGTGGATAAGAGTTTTTAAAACTTACATCGATAATAACTTTGTCGCATTAACCTGTGTCCTACTGTCCTTCGGACCGTGAATCGATTTCACTGATTGTATGTATATATTCGCAACAACAGAATTTCACATCACGGCTTTATGTCTCAAACCTAGTATGATAATTCATCCATAAATTCAACTCATTTGCTCAAAAGGCATGTTGAATTAGAAAATACACGAAACACTTATGAATAACCAAGTATCATTCACCGATCAGAAGAAATGTTGACGGGATCAATTTGAAATTCGGTAGGGAATAAGGTTAAGGGAAGGAATGTTCAAACTGATAATAGATGAGTGGGATGAAGATGAGCGATTTGACAAATCACGAGACAGACGACATACCATATCTTATAAATCCACGTGTGAAGTGACAGTTTTCAGCTTCTGTCCAAAGGTTTAGATGCCTCACTTCTCTTCTTTGTCTCTTACCGTTTTGTATTTTAGTTATCACCCTCATAATTTGTACTTGATTGTGACCCGTACACATAATTCCATTATTACATCTCATTATTTGACGTAGTTAACGTTAAATCCTACGTATCATATCCGCAAATTGATTTGTAAGTTACCCTTCAAATGTCATTTCCTTTATTATATTCCCAAACCAAATTGTCTTTCCTCACAAACTTCTAATCTTGAAAATTCAAAGAGATTGAATTGTAGTTCTTTTATTTCGTAGTTAACGTTAAAAATCTTACGTATCATATCCGCAAATTGATCTGTCAGTTACCCTACAAATGTCATTTTCCTTTTTGTTATATTACCAAACCAAATTGTATCTCCTCACAAACTTCTAAGCTTGAAAATTCAAAGAGATTGAATTTTACTCCTTTGAAAAGCGAGCCTATTTCCTACGATATTATTAGTGTATTATTGATAACTAAATTAGTAGTATTAGGCGTACGTTTATTGTGTCACGTACGAGTAATTTTTAGTCTGCAAATATAAAAGCCGTACGTATAATTTACCTTGTAAAAATATTTTCTTTTCTTTGAGGTATACCAGAAGCGAATTTTCAACAGAATTCTATTTCTTAAACAGTAACTGATGGTCGTTGCCAAGAAAAAAATAAGAGAGCAGATTATTGATAGCTGAAAAACAAAATAAATAAATAACGGATATATTCATGAATAAGAGAATACGGATACTGATTGATGATATACGAAGAAAAGCAATTAAATGGTCAGAGGGTCAAAACAGTATACGGAAGACGAGGATAGACAGAGAGGCACACGTGTGAGATTTTATGGTAAAAAGTTCTGCAGAATTCTCAGAATGTGTGTTAAATTTTTTTAAAAATGTTTATTCTTTCTTACACTTCCCAAAGTCTAAAATCTGCCTCTCTCCACTCGTGTGGGCCTTTTGCTTTCTCTTTCATTGTCAGACTCAGACCTCCCCACGTGCGCTTCTCTTCTCTCCATCCTCCATCCGTTTCTTTTCATTATTCCCTTTTTCTTTTACTATTTTCGATAATGCTGATCCTTGGATAATAATATTAGTTGGCACCGCAAATATTTCAGGAAATTATATTTCTATTAATTTTGTGAGTGATTTTTTTCTTAAATTTTATATATTGTATGTCCAAATACTAAAAAAGGAAGTTTAGTTTTGTACTTGTTTCACAGAAAATTTTCAAAATGATAATCTAAAGGTAATCAGGAAATGTTAATGAACATTAACAAAGCTGTAACAAGAACTTAAAAGAGACAGGCATGTACAAGTCTCATACATTCATACAACAACTGAAAATGACGAAAAACTCAGATTGTTATTACAAACAATTTTGAGTTCATCTGATAAATAATGGTGTACCAAGCTCAATGGAGTTGATGTATTAAAGCTTTATTACCTGATTTCATAAACCATTCTCTCTGAAAGCTCCTCTCCCACGACCTTGCGGTAGCTTTTTAACATCGGTTCCAGTTGCTTCCGGCCTACGGGATTCATCATCTTCCGTAGATCCTTCCATATCCAATTGATTGTTTTGTTGTCAACACGAGAGTTTGATGATAATGGTAAACACTGATGACACCTAAATAGCCTTAACAGCGATCTCAAAGGAAACAAAAAGGAAGTTTCTTTTACCTTGTATCTGTACTGGGATCCATAAAGACCGATAAGGATATTGTTAATGTCGTTATCTTCGGATTCAGGGTCTTCTGATTCAACTTCATACATTTCGTCATCATCATCATCTTCATCTTCATCCACCTCCTCATCATCGTCATCATCACTGCTGCCCATATAATGATCATTGGTCTCCCCTAGTTCCATATCTTCATGTTCACTTGTTATAGGTTCCGCGAGAGTTTCAGAAGCATGAGGTAGTAAAGAACATTGGTTCTGCGAATTGGCGATCTCGGACAAGATGACATATGACTTTTTATCAAGCCTCGGACTAGCTACTTCAAATGGAACCCACCTGAACACATAATCCAATTCCAGTGTTAGAAAACTTACATTCACCAGTCTCCTCACTTCAATGAAATGTTTAAGCAGAGGAAATAATTATCAGTTCACAAGTATCAGAACTCAGTGCTTCCTACTATACTGCATCTTTCTTGATAGTTGATGAGCTAAACAAAAACAGGTCCAGGTTTGGTGATAACTTACTGGAAACGGAGAGGGCATAGAAGCTCAGATGGACGATATGCTGCTTTATATCTCATCTTGCTGCAGGAATGTATATAATAGCCAAGATAGTAATACTGAAGAGAAGGGCAATGAGCTTGGTTTTCTCTCACCCAATTAATTTCTTGCATGGCAGAATATTTCCCCAGCGATAAGAATGCATAGTCTGGATCCCAGAATAAGTACACACTTGACAAACATTTCGGAAGGATATCTACAACCCCGACAGCAATTAGACGGCCATCAACTCGGTATTGCTGGTGGAAAGATCCGAAGCCACAAGGCGGAACGTTTTCATCACCTGAAGGCTGAACATATATTAAAGGAGAGTCGACCAGAAACCTTCTGTATGAACTCTCTACTACGTGCCCTGGCTTATCATTGTGCACTCTCAGCTGATACCGTTTGTATAACGCATGTTCTTCAGGATCAAAACTAGACCTTTTCAAATTCATCTCCAGCTTTAGCTTTCTTGCCTTGTGGTTTTCTGAATCCTTCTTAGCGGCTTCGCCTGTAGAATTGGCTCCTCTCGAGATGTTACCATTAGGAACAACATCTGTATCAGAGAAAGAATCTTTGGAAGCTGAACGGAAATTTATATGGCCCTTGCAGACCTTTATAGACAAATCAAGAGTTTCCCCCACCTTACTCAATTCACTTAACAACATTTCCGAAATAGTTTCAGGTGATAATCTGTTATTTTCTGCATTGTTTATCTCCCCTTTCTCAGATGTCTGGGTGCGTTTTATAGCAGCTGCTATCGGAAAAGCAATGTTGCTGGTGTATAAGAGTTGTTCTGGTCCCTCCGCTAGTTTCTTCCTTTTAGCGCAGAACACCTTCTTCACTGCAGCTTTGGGTATCTGCATATTAGAAGGGAATCCCCCACTCTGCATACATCTTTGCACAGCCTGATCAATTTTCTTAGACAAATCATCCATGATTGGTTCAACTTTATTCTTTTCTTCACTTGTAGCAGTTCCAAGTGTTTTTCTCCCTGAATCTAAAACTTCACCAGAGGAAGAAGCACGTGTATGCTCTGTTTGTTCCCGGGGCTGCACATCTAGTTTGCCATCCAAGAACCTTTAAACAAAAACATTGTGAAAAAAGATTAAGAAATACACATCAGAATCATAGATATCTCCACGTATGCAACAACAATGTTTTGAAGGTGAAGCGGAAACCTTAAAGACTCAGCCAATAACATGACCAATTAACAATTCTAAAACTTTCAACTACTGCTCCAAAGAAAGAGAAAGGAGAAGAGTGAATCAAAATGCACCTTTCGAGTCTCCTAGACACTCGCTGCTGCTCTTTAGAAGGAACAAAATCACTTGCTTTCAAACGGATCGTATAAGGAGGGCAGCACGTTTTATCCATCTCATGTTTGTAAAGATAACAACCAGATCGTCTCCAACCTCGGTCAATAAGAGCTTCAGAATACAAAAAGAAAAATATAAAGATACATTAAACATCTCTAACTGCACAGAAGAAAAGAAAGAGAATGACATCTGGCTCAAAGAGATAACTTTCAGAAAAAAAAGGATTTTGAACTAGCTTCAGTTATATACTACTCTGTCTACAAAAATTTGCTCATCACACATTTCAGGAATAGCAACAGACCTTGGTAGTCACTAACGGTAAGAGTCTCTGCTGATAAACCTGCATTGGCAATGCAAAAACATTGATTGAGTTATCAATCATATTCACTGGAATTTCTGAATTCTGATCGCAACAAAACCAATTCAGCAACATTGAATAAAATCTATAGTCCAAAAACACTCGACTTTGTTTCAGCTTATTGTCATGAAAAACCCACATTTTTATCAATCAGGCACAAAATCACATACAAAAAAAACATCATTCATGTAAATTCATAAAGCAAAATTATATTGTAATCGTTCGAGTCAACAACCTACTCCAGTGAACAAAAACTGGAAAATAATTTTAAAAAAATCAAACGAACCGTGAGAGATACTGGATCGCGCCGAGGATTTACAGTAGCCGCAAGTACTTCTGCGACGGCCATGATCAGCGATCACGCTTTCTCCGCCGCTTCCGCCGCCGTGGCTGCTACTGGCGTCGTTTGTTGTTTTCACTTTCTTCGACGACATAATCGGCGAGTATCAGAAGAAATTCCTAAGCTCCTTCCGATTGGAGAAGAAGAAATGATCTCACATTCGAAAGATATCATTAACGCGAGGAGACGAGAAATTTACATTTTCTTCATTGACTTTTTGGTCTTTCTTAATAAGGAACCATTTTCAATTATATTTTAGAGGGCAAATTGGCTTTAAATTGATAAATCTTCAAATGAAGGGGTGTTTTGTAATTATACTGGACTATGGAAGGAAAGATGCAAAATCAAAATATATTTAGGGCAATAAAGAGAATCCAACACGAAAGAATCGAAAAACCAGATTTTTCCGCAATATTTGACATGGCCAGCTTGTGGCGAGCTGTAATCGGCGGCCAAAGCAACAATTCCGACGACTACGGAGGCGTCGAGTTCTGGTCCAACCCGGAAAGAACAGGCTGGCTCACGAAACAGGGAGAGTACATCAAGACGTGGAGACGCCGATGGTTCGTGCTGAAACAAGGGAAGCTCTTCTGGTTCAAGGACTCCGACGTCACGCGCTTGTCACGCCCCCGCGGCGTCGTCCCCGTCGCGTCGTGCCTTACCGTCAAGGGAGCAGAGGATATCCTCAACAAGCAATACGCGTTCGAGGTTTCGATGAGCGGAGAGACCATGTACTTCATCGCCGATACGGAGAATGAGAAAGAAGACTGGATCAATTCGATCGGACGTTGCATCGTGCAGCATTCGAGATCCGTCACCGATTCCGAGATCTTCGATTATGATAACAAACGTTAAGTTTCTTATCTGATCATCAATGTTACATGTTTGCCAAAATTTGTAACTATAAAAAGCTTTGTAAAACCTATGAGTAAATTTATTGTGAGAATTCTGTATTTCCTTCTCTTTTGGGTTAAAATTCAGAGCTTCATTAATGGAATCTAAATGAAAAATCCCACAAAATCATGAAGTGCTTGTAACTGTTATACACATGATTCGAATCTCCAAAAAAAGCCCATCTATTTCTTGACGAATGCTGATTCAGCCAAGTCAATGGCTCGAGCAAGACCAGCGGCTTTGTTCTGGCACTCACGGTGCTCGTCTTCCGGGTCACTATCAGCTACTATACCGGCTCCGGCTTGAAGATAAGCCACCCATTCACGGCGTTTGTTAGCATCTTTGTAAGAGTACATTGTATTGTACTGACTTGCTGTCGGGAAAACAATCGTCCTAAGGGCTAAAGCAATGTCCATGTCACCGGTGAACGAGACTCCTCCAAAACCTCCACTGTATGGTCCACGCCGTGTAGGCTCGAGCTCGTCGATTAGCTCCATGGCTTTAACCTTTGGCGCACCACTAACTGTTCCCACTGGTAAAGCAGCGCGTAGTGTGTCCCAGCAAGTTAAATCATCTTGTAACTCTCCTGTCACCTACACACACAACTTAAAATGATCAAAAACACTGCGAGAGTTTCAAATATATGATCCAAAATGGTTATGTATTAACACTTACAGTCGAGCTTATATGCATAACATGTGAATAACGTTCGATGTTCATAAGTTTCTCCACTTTCACAGAACCGTATTTCGCAACCTTTCCAACATCGTTGCGTCCGAGATCGACCAACATGATGTGCTCAGCACATTGCTTTTCATTCTCTAGCAGCTCCTTCTCTAATCTCTTATCCTCAGCTTCAGTCTTCCCTCTCTTGCTGGTTCCTGCTAATGGCCGATTCACTATCTTGTTCTGCTTCAAATATGGTAACAACTTAGCCTCATCTCAAATAGCATTGGTTTCTACTTGTAATTAATGCCACTTTAGTTAGAGATGTTTACCTGTTTTACTTTGGTGAGAATCTCTGGACTTGATGCTACCATAATACATCCTCTAGCCTGATAATTGGACAACAAACGTATTAACGGTTATTCACAATAAGAACAAAAATGCAAAGCTGTACAAGAAAAGTTCTCTGCATTACCAACCTGCAAATAGCCCATATACGGACTCGGATTCACAACTCTTAGTGCTCTATAAACTTCAAAGGGATCTGCAAATGTTCTCCTTTCAAAGCGCTGACTCAAGACGATCTGGAATATGTCTCCTGCAAGTATATGTTCTTTAGCCTTGACCACAGCCTCCTTGTACTCTTCACATGTCACGTTTGAGTTTTCCAACGCTGGCCCAAATTGTCGCGTCTGGAGATTCACGTTACCTGCAGCCAGCTTTGGCCTGTAGAGATTCATAGCGGAAAAAAAACAACTTTTAAGGATAGTAACCATAAAAAGCTCACAAACTAAATCAAGTCAAAGTTATACTTACGGCTCAATGTCGTGTAACTTGGCCACCAAGTGCTCCAAATGTTGCATTCCATTACTGTATGCCTTCTCATAGGGAATGCTCCCATCTAGTCTAATCCAGTGGATAACGTATGCTTTCTGTGAAAATAAAGGGAACCTCTAATTACAAAAATTTGGAGATTCCACAGTTTATCAAACAACAGGGATAGTAACAATAAGATTACCTTCTCCACGTGATCAAATACAATTACATCGTCATAAAGACCAAGATGCATGTCTGGCAGGTTCCTATCATCCTCAGGGGCCTTTGAAAATGGGAGTTTCCTTTTCTCGACATATCGAACTGTGTCGTACGAGAAAAAACCAACCCACCCACCTATCATGATAGAGAACTCTTATTAAGAATCACCACTTCAGGAGAAAGAAAAATCATAAAACGGAAACTAAAGCCTCCAGTTCTTCTATCACAGGAAAGGCTTTTCAAGAGCTTAAAGGCGCAAATTGGACACTACTGTTTTAAGGGACAAAAAGGAAACTAGGTCACATCAAGGGAAGAATGTTCAGAAAGTAGATTCATACTTATCACAATTCTTCAGCTTATAAAACAAGTGGACTCATTCCTTTTTAAGGTAACCTATTCTATTAAGTGAATCTTTATAAACAATCGAGATGGATTCCTTACCACAAAACGCATCTGGAAGGTCCTGAACTAGTTGAGGATCAGGGTTCCATGTCTCAGAGATTTTTCTTGGGATCTCCATTGGATCTTCAACGTATTCCTCAGTCATGCTTTCATTCGTGTGATCCATAACAATAACTTTATTCTCTTTTGCCACGATCTCCATCGCCGGTTGAGCCCCAACAACGCTGTAACGACCCTATTGAGATCAATCACATCAAAGAAACAAATTAGGAACTGAGGACGATTAACTGAAACAAAGATCTGTAGAAAGAAAGATTTCTCTCTTACAACGTTTGACATCTGAGAGCCTGGCTCAACGGACTCAAAGAGAAAGCTAGGAGCTTCACGGTCATCTTCTTTGACCAGACAACGGTAAGCAAGAACAGGAGTAAGCTGATCGGAGAATATGCAGCGGTAAACTGGTATGAGGTTTGTGCTCTTAGAAGCATCTGCCAACTTTTTTGTATCAGTTACTGCAAGCACGAAATTGAGAACATGTATCAAAATTGTTTTCACACTGATTCTAAAGCTCAAACGCTTTAATTTGAGAGTAGAATATTCCAATTCGCCGATTCAGATTGATAAAATGCATCAAAAGGTGATATAAAAAAAGAAGATTCCGATTCACAATCAAAGCTATCAAAATCACCAAAACTGATAAATTCGAAATGTCCTGAAGAATATAACCGTTGAAGTCCGTAGGTATAGGAATAGAGCAGAGAATCGAATATTTCATTTTGTATACTGCTAAAGCTCGACCTGATTTGGTCAAACCATTTTCCCGCATTTTATCGGGAATCTAACAATCTAAACCCATACGAAAAAGAAGAAAAAAAGCGAAGAGAATTGCTTCACCTATTGAAGCTTCCGGCGATACAGAGACGCATTTAATCGAACGGAAAGAAGGCGCGTAAGCTGGGCTTCTACCGGACAATCCAGCAACGGTCACAGAAGAAGAAGAGAGTCCGCGAGAAACCGCAGAGGGAACGAGCCGGCGAGAGAAACTCAAGGGCTGCATCGTCGCCACATTCATCGAGGAAGACATCGTAACGGCAAAGAAAAATCGGTGGTGGTGGGCTCCGGAGGCCGGAATGTAAGATCGGAGAAGATTCAGAGGTGACGGCTAAAAGAGTAATTACTTGTCAATCTTTATATGCGACTGGCGAATAGATTAGTGAGAAGATGGCTTATTTATAAAGATGCGCGTGGCATTACCATGTGCCTTACTGTGAAACTACTTTAGTACCCCTCACCTGTACTCTTCATCTTTCACCAGGTCACGTGCATGCACCACTCTCTCGCTATAAAGTACTGTAGAAAAAGCCTTTTTGGATTTGTTTTTTGGAGAAAATAAGGAAAAAGACATACGTGAGATTGTTTAGCTTATACAGTAGTCATACTAAATATTATTCTGACAATTTTATGGCAATTTTAGATTCAATTAAAACATAAAGTGAGGAGAAAAACCAATCAAACGCTCGTTATATGTAGAGCTTATCATTTTTGTGAAATCCATCCACAATTCATAAAAAAGCAATTGGTGACACATAATAACTTGCGACTTCAAGAATTACGATTGTGTGAGTACTCTCTGATATCGCTTAAGGTTAATCCCAGCAATCTATTTAGATTGAATTTCACGATCAGGTACAAGAAGCTCAAATAAACAGGAGTACCTCTTTACCGGATAGTGATATATTCCAATATTTCTTGGTCAATTGTATAATATTAGAATGTAGAAACTTTGACATTTCCTCGAATTAACAATCCTAGTAGCTAGGAGTACATGTATTGAAGGTTGCTTTAGATGCTACCAACCAAAATCAACCCCATCCACATTTTTAGCATGTGCTTTTGTTCTATTATTTTACCTTCAATTGTTACGATATTTTCCATCGTTTATTATAAACAATATTTCCTAATAACTTTTTGTATAGTTTTAATATTTAAAGTTTGAATATGTTCAGATGTAGTTTTGTCAATCATAATAGTATATACGTAACAAAACGAGCATACAAAATTGGATAACATGCGAACTAGTTAAGAGCAAATTAAATACTCTCTATGTTTCGTTTTATATTATTTTGGATAAATATGTGGTAATTATCATTACATTTTTGTTTTGAAAGTAATATAAAACCAACGGATGCCAACTAACAAACAAGTAAACAATCTTATCGGCACTTGATTATACAAATCTGTCAGGAAAACTACTTTCCATATAAAAAAGCAACGTTGGTCCATTTTGTTTTTTCAAACCATTAAAAGTCTCTTTTCAAACCATTGAAAGTCTCTTTTCAAAAATACATATATTTATGTTGCAACATGCAATTAATAACCAATTAACAAAATATTTTTATTTTCTCAAACTCACAAAGCTCCCTTGAGAGAGTAATTCTTACAAAATAACAAAAAAGCACAACTCCAAAACTTAAAAGTTATAAAGAGCTATTTATTCCTCCTGATTCATGTTGAGCTCTGTGATGACGAGTGTGTTCACAAGCCAATCATCATGGCGTCTTCACCGGTGAAAGCAAACGGGTAAGGCAAATTTTCCAAAGATAAGATTTACTAACATTCGTATTCGATTTGATGCGATCTTCATCTTCATATTTGGTTATGCACAACCATTTTTGATTGTATAACATTGGCCAAATCCCAATTTAGAGCAATAGATGTTATTTCGGTTGAGAACCCAATATAATGATTCTTCTGATTGAAATAAAAATTAGGATTGCCAATCTTCAAATATTCGATTGTACGAATATTGCCCCATACAAAAGTAAGGTGCATTTTGGACGTATATTCTTATCCTACAGTAGTTGATATAGAAAGGTACAATATTTAGTGAATTTTAAAAAAAAAAATAAAATAAAAATAAAATAAATCTCTTACTGTTCTCTCTAACAATCAGTGATGGTTAATTCATTTAGTGTTGCACTCCTCCGTCGTCATTGTCTACTCCTCTGTCCCCGTCGTCGTCTAACCCTCTGAATAACCAACGCAACATTCCGGTGCACATGTCCCTACAACGCCGGTTTTGTCTTTGTGTTGCTGAAAACGAAAGTGCGAAACTGGAAGTGATCCTAGTCTAGAGGTTTTAAGTTTGTTTTTCTCTCAGTTTCTTCAAGAGTTAGCTTGAATCTACTGGTTTTAAGTTTGTTTTTCATTCAGTTTCTTCCGGTTTTGTGCAAGCTTTTGGCGTAAAAAAAAGTTTGAAACTTTGTATATTCGTGAATTCGTTGTATTTATCCACCAGTAATAATCTATCAAGAAGAAAGAAATGGGTGCCATGTTGCAATTGTAAATTCACCGGAAACAATAACGTGAACACACACACCCAATGTATCTGTAGTGTAATCTCAAGAGAAGTAAACGGTGTAGAAAATGTTGTTGGAACCAAATTTTTAATCCAAATGGGCTGAATAAAATTGTGGACAAGCCGTCCATGTAACTGGATTCGTAGATTCTGGAGAAGTTTAACTTAAGAGACCAAAACTTAAAAGTTTTATAAAGAGCTTATTTGTTCTGATTCTTGTTGAGCTCTGTAATGATTACAAGCCAATCATCATGGCGTCTTCACCGGTGAAAGCAAACGGGTAAGGCAAACACACAAGCAACGATAGGAAGAGAACCACTATTCCTAGAGTCACATACATATCATCAGGCTGCGTGATCTCTTCAGCCAGCGGCGCGATCGGTCCACGCTGCAGGAAGAATATCAGAACCACCCAGTAGAATGCGACGTCACTGAACAACGCAGACAACCCCAGAAGCGCTATGGAGGCACCCGTGAGCCGTGTCGACGCCTGAAAACCATTCGGAATGCAGAGTTTAAGGATTTTGGCTTAAGAAATGGGAAGAATGCTCCCAAGTTGATGAAAGTTTGAAGTTACCTTTCTACCCCAAATGGCGAAAGCGATTTTACCGCCATCGAGCTCTCCTGCAGGGATGCTGTTAATGCCATTGATGAGAAGTCCAGCCCATGCCCATATCACAAGCGGGTTTACAGATATTGAAGTTCCTTCTTTGAGCACATCCCCAAGTAGGAGCTTGGCTATACAAGAAGAAGAAGGAATATAAATGCCTTCAAAAGGAAAGATTGTAAGATTAGATTAAAAAAGCTAAAGCTTACCTATACCACCAACGAGGAAAGATTCGTGAAACACAGATGAGTCAACTATAACACCAATGCCATCACTAGGAGGCAAGATTAATCCTACAAGAAACAGAATCAAACCAAGAGAAAAACCAGCCAAAGGTCCTGCAGCTGCGACCTTCAAAAGATCTTCTCGCTTTTCTACGATGTTTTTGATTCTCGTTATAGCACCGAAAGAGCCTATCTGCCATCTAAAACATGTTCATCAAACCTCTACAAAACCAAAAATTCCAGCTGAAAGAAGATTCCTTTTACTTTTTAAAGAGAACATTGCATCTTCACCTGCCAACTTGGAACAAAGAAAGGAACACCAAGCTTAATCCCCAAGTTGTTTGCGACTACAATGTGTCCTAACTCATGTACCCCAAGGACAAGAGCTGTGACAAGAGCTCCCGGTAAGCCGTCTTTCAACAGCTCAAGGTTGTCAAATGCCGATCTACAATCAAATTCATGGATGGGAGGAAACAGTTTATTTCAGTCAAGCATAACATGTTCCCGGTGAAAACACTGTTTAAGTTTTTACTTACAGTAAGTTGGACTGCAAGGCGGGGACATTACGGAGAAACAAGGTAAACAATGCCACCAATCCAAAAGAAGCAGCAGCAAACCATTCAGGAACAGCTGCAATTGTGTGTAGCATCCAGCTTAAAACTTGAACAATCTGAGGGAGATGCTTGTGATAGGAAACCATATACAGTAAGATTACCTGTTGTCTCCGGTTCCAAGGACCTTCGAGGAACAACAACCGCCACAGGTTTATCATCCTCGGGATTGGTGAGGAGGAAAAGCCTGTACTGGTCACCAAATTTGTTCTGCAGATTGATGTGCAATATGCTATTAATCTTTGTCACAACATGTTCTTGGCTAAAAAAAACTCAAAAGCAAAATTGCTACCTCCAATCTCGTCTTTATCTTCTCGTAACTTTGAGCAGGCTTGCCTCTTAGATTTCCTTTGAACAACACCCCACCCTACCATCATTGTCTCAAGAACGTCAAGAGATCCAGGATAAAAGAATTTTCATAATCTTAGAGAAAAACTGATTATATTCTCACAGACTCACCTCATATGGTTCCTGGCTTGTTACGAAGAAGGTGTCAAACCCGAATACTTGGCCCATGAGAATATCAATGGTTTCTTTAGGGAGCCTCATGGATTCGTCCAGTTGCAATCTCTATTCAAAACAACTTTTTTATGAAAGATGAAAAACCAGAAAAGATTAAGCTCAGGTTTTTGTAAGTGACATTGTTGAGAATACTTACATTCATACCCGGAAGAGGAGAACCACTGCTAACTTGTATTTTATCACCGTCCTATTCAAAAACAAATGCAGGAGAGTACAATACATTCAGAAACAAAACCAACACTTCTTAAACGAAAAGCAAAACTTGTACAATTGAGATTCAGTTATACCACAAAAATATACATTACCTGAGAGCTGAATTGAGCTTTGTTTTCCTCTTCAGTGCCCGGCGCTTCATTCACAACGGTTGACTGTGAAATCAACTCAGTAGGTAATTGTGAAGGAGGATCATCTGCTAAAGCCTCTTTGTCTTCTTCACCATTCTCCTGCAAACAAAAATCCCAATTACATAAATACAAATGAAGGAAAATATCCACAACATGTGGGAATTAATAATTTATTGAAGACGAAACGGCAATACCTCATCGTTATTGCCATCTGGTTCCGTTGGTGTATCCGTCACTCTACAAAAAGTCTCTCTCTTTCTGCAAACTCTAAGTTCCAAATCCACCAGATAAACAGAGAGAAGTGCCAGAAACAATTAAAAAATCGAACAACGAGATGAACAAAATGAAACCTTTGAACTTGGAGCAGCTTCAGATTCTTATTCCTTTGAGGGGTCTCTCTCTGCCCAAATTCTAGACTCGAAGTGGCTATGAAGGGCTGAAACTGAAGACTACAACATGAGCTGCATTGCGACAAGACGCCCAAATTGCCGCGAAAACTAGCTGCGAGATTCATGTCGACCAACAAACTCAAAATCCTGATGCCATCAGAAAACTCTCAGAAAGTAAAGATTAGTAATTTGTTTTCTTCAGACGCTTCCACGATTTCAGATGTGTGTCCTCGTGTTTCTTATCGCTGGAGTATCTTTTCATTTATCCGTTGGAGGAGGAGAGCTCTTCCCAAGAATAACACCCTGTAGTTTCTCACTACGTTGAACGACATGAAGTTCCCTTACCATTATCTCAAACGTGACACATGTTCTAGTGCAATCTTTCTGAAGTGAAAAACTCTTTCTCTGTGATAGCTCTTGTGGAAAGAGGACTCAGCAGCGATATTTTTCGATCGTAGCTCGATTGGAAAATCCTCACATCTCAGATGAACTCCGATCGGTGCGAGAAACCTTAATTGCTCAGGAGTTTCATCTCTCCCGATTTTCTCTTCGGGAAATTTTAGGTCCTCCGTTGAATATGGATGGTAACAAAGATGACGCGTTGAAATGCCTGAAAATCGGCAAAGATGCGATGGAGGCAGGGGATCGATCTCGTGCTTTGAAGTTTCTGGAGAAAGCTCGTCGTCTCGATCCGACTCTTCCAATCGATGATCTCGTTTCGGATCTGAATAAGCAGTCAGAGGAACCAGCGGCGGAGGATTCGCCTGGATCTGCCGCCAACGACTCTCCTAAGCCGTCGGATAAGCCTTCTCTTCGCCAACGTGGATCTTCGTCTGCCGCCGCGGGGTCGTCATCGTCATCGTCGTCGTCCGTGTCTTTCACAGTTGAACAACGAGCGATCGTGAGGGAGATAAAATCGAAAAAGAATTACTATGAGATTCTCGGACTGGAAAATAACTGTTCAGTCGAAGATTTGAGGAAGGCATATCGAAAACTCTCGTTGAAGGTTCATCCAGATAAGAACAAGGCTCCCGGTTCAGAAGAAGCTTTCAAATCCGTCTCCAAGGCGTTTCAGTGCCTAAGCAACGAAGAAGCTAGGAGAAAGTACGACGTCAGTGGCTCCGATGAGCCTGCTTATCAACCACGCCGATCCGCGAGAAGAAACAACGGATTCAACGGCTTCTACGACGATGAGTTTGACGCTGACGAGATTTTCAGAAGCTTCTTCGGCGGAGGAATGGCTCCTGGTAGCACTACCCAATTCCGATCATTCAACTTCGGCGCAGGAAACAGAACAGCGAGTCAAGCCTCTGATGCAGGATTCAATCCTCGTGTGCTCTTCCAAATCCTTCCTGTTTTGTTCATACTGCTCCTCAACTTCATGCCATCTCCTCAACCAATCTACTCGCTCTCTGCATCGTATCAGTACGAGCACAAATTCACGACGCACAAAGGCGTCAATTACTTTGTGAGATCAGCAAAGTTCGAGCAGGAGTACCCAATACATAGCCCCGAGAGGCAGAGGGTTGAAGATCAAGTTAACAGAGATTACTTGTCTATACTGGGTCAGAATTGCCGGTATGAGCTTCAGAGACAACAATGGGGATTCGTCCGCGAGACGCCACACTGCGACATGATGAGGAGGTTTGATAGAGCTGCTGCATAAACCAATCCAAGTAAGGGACCTGAGCACCAAGTTAGTATACTCAAACTCCGAAACTTGGTTGGATCGTTCTGAGACGTATATAGATGGTACTTGCTAAGGTTTGAGCATTTGTGTATGCCTCAGAGAGTTTGTTTCTCAAGTCCCATTCTCATATACGCTGATTGCTGTATGATTTTTAGTACGAAACATATTATGTGTGATTACTTCTATTCGGAATAAGACTTGGTTTTGCTCTGCTCTGCTGTTTCCTGGTTGTAATTTAGCAAAACTTGAATTTCATTACAGCTTAAGTTTCCTGGTAAATCCAATGAAATCTTGCTGAAAAATTGAAACTTATTGACACTCTACTATCAACATACAAAAAATGGGAAACCCTTGAAGCTTTAGTTGAAGTTTTAGCTCTGGATTTGATACACAAGAGATGTGAACGGTTTCGTTTCAAGCCACAAAGAAGAGGAAAACAATGAGGAACAAGATGATAATGGCGAAGATCTTGATCATGAGCCATCTGTTTGAAGAAATCCGAGTGAGATGCTGTAGAAGAGCGCTGCGTGCTCCCTCTACATTAACTAACGAATCATCCATATTGTCATCGATTCTGTAACACAAAACCACATGTGTTAACCCAGTGTTACCTGAAACTCAATATATGTCAGGTTTTAGGTAAGAAGGTTAAAGAACCTGATAGCTAGCTCTCCCTGTTGTGTGACCATTGTAGCTAGATGCGTGAATATTCCACTGAGCTCTGTTATTGTTGATTCAACACTGTGAAGCGCAACAGCTCGGCTTTGGCTATAATTCTCCTGCCTTGGGACTGTTTGCTGTAGCATGGACATCTCCATTTGCTGCGAAGGAGCATTCTCAATCGCAGATCTGCGTCTGTTTTGGCATGGCACGAACAAAAAATCACAGGTTTATACATGATTTGAACGAACAAAATCAAGAGTTGTCAGTTATGGAAATGAGGCCATACCTAAGCTGGCTACCTGAAGGAGCTCCACTATTTAATGGCGGCAATCTGGACGGTTAAAGAGTACACGCTAATTAGATGAAAGTTACTGTTACTTATGAGAAACTAGTCGTCCAACAAAAACTCACAGTGGTTGTTCTAAATTCCCGGAATGATTTGATGATGAAGTTGACCAAGGAGGAGGCTCAGGTACAGATTTTGCATTATTCTGAGGCGGACTATCTACTGCTGCGTTTTTGGCTGAAAAGAGTTGTTTCCGGTTTTCATGAGCCTTCATGTTCTGCAGGAAGACAAGGAATTTCTCAATAATAGATACTCTCTAATGAGTAATGTTCGATGATAGGCAGATAGTTGATAAATCGACATATCCAACCTCTGATCTCGTAGTAAGAACATCTTGAAGTTGCTTTGTAGCTCCCATGAGTCTGGTTTTCAAGTCATCACAAACAGCTGTGTAGTGAACAACTTTGTGCTGTGAATAGTTCCCTTCAGCGATCTCCATGTTCTGAAGGGTCTGCAGATTAGAGAGAGCCATGTTCAGTCCCGTGATATCGTTCCTGATCAACGCAGTTAACTCCTGTATTTCCACGGTCCGGTCATTGAAAATCGACGACTGTTTTGCCACTGTGATACATCAACAGTTTCAGGTAAACAAAATTTATCAATGTCAAGATAATATATGCAAGTTTCATTCAAAACATGTAAACACACAAATGACTTCCACAGCAAGTAACACAGAACTTTCCATCTCCAGAGCATTATTTCTTGCTTCGAGCTAAATGCCTAAAAGCATAGGGTCACGTTAGGCCTTCTATACAAGACAGCTATCAGAAACTCTGACTTTAATCTCTTTAAAATCCAAAAATCACAAAGCCTAATCCACTGTCCGGATCAAACACCCTACAATTTCTCGCGTTTCTTATTCTCAGCTGCTAAAAATTCCAGAATGAAATCATGATTCCAGCGAAAAATAGATACGAAGATGTCGATAATAGATCTAAATTCCGAACCGTACATTTAGCGAGCCTCGCGATCTTCTGAGACGTTTCCTGGATATGTAGCTTGATCCGAGTAGCCTTCTTATTGAATTCGGATCCTGAAGATTCCGGCGGCGACCGTTTGGAGGATGCCGGATCATCTTCATTTTGATTAACGGACGGGATCGCTCCGATCTTCTTCAACGTTTGGGATACTGAATGAAACTCCACCGTCCGATCCCTGAACGTTGAGCCCATCGGAGGGTCAGAATTGGATCAAGACCACCGGCCAAATCTTGATCAAATTTCTTCAGAAGGTGAGCTCAATTCCAGAGTAACGGGAGATTTATCAACCGGTGAGAGGGACAGAGAAACACAAAATGTCTTGTTGTTTTATTCTCGTTGAACCGTGTCCCGTTTTAATATTTGGTAATCTAACTTGGGCCCAAAGCCCAATATTAGGGGAACACACAATAGCCGTTAGATTAGAAAGTGAGGAAAAACCCCTAATTTCAATAAACAAAAAACAAAACATTCGATTAGAGTGAAGTAGTTTTGAGTTCAAATTTGTATCACGATATGACTAGGTTAGCAATAATACGGTTTTGTTACATTTGTATACTTCCATCAATTAATCCTGAATTTTATATTTTCAGAGTCATTAGCAGAAAAGAAAATCAGTTTTTTTACGATTGAAACTGTTTCACGTGAAAGGATAAATGGAAAAAGGCTCATGCTTAGGGAAACGAAAATTATCAAACGGACCTACTCCAAATTTCGGATATCCAAATTACAAAAAAAAATATTTGTAGTGCATGACAAATTAAACTATGGTATTAGATTAGAAAGTTGTGAAAGGGATTAAAGTTTTGGGATTATGTTAGATGGATCGGCGACAAACGTGGAAGCAGAGAGATCAAAAATGGAAGCTTCCCAAGCTTCGTAAGGCGTAGGGGTCTCTGTCTATGCCCTACGTTTCAAGCGTGCCACAATTTCATGCCCTTGTTTCCTGAGTTTTCATTTTTGAAAATTATATTTTACTAATTGCAAATGTTAATATTTGAGTATTTATCAATGAATTAATTGAGTTACCAAAATTTGTTATATACATTTTTTAAGATTTCTTGTTTTGAATCTTTTCATGATCAAAAGAAAGTTAGATAATCGACATTGACCTAGGAGTTAGAGCTAAAACACCCATTGCCAACAACTAGTAGCCAAATTTATGTCGCATGAAGTATATACATAATTTTGATAAAAAGTTAACAATTTTTTTTTTAAGAGTTGGTTAATCTGTATATTAAATTAGTGATGCATGGAACATCATTGGGAATTGCATGGAAGTGGGCATTACAATGTGAGACCACCTTCCACTTTTTTGACTACGATAGTCGATAAGAACACACACTCTTCCTCTCGGACTATACTGCATACCATAGTATAAACTATAATTTCAGAAGAAGAAAATCAAAAACTAAAAAAAAAAAGATATTCATTTATCTTTTGTATTTATGTTTTTAGTTATAAATTATAATCAGGTATGCTATGTCGAAACGAAAGTAACTTTGGAGCATATATACACAAATGTTATTTGGGTTTTGCTGTAACATATGTGGATGGTATAATGTTGCATCTTCCCAATTTATCATTATATATATTTAATTTTGTTTTTAGATATTTTATGACTTTGTTTGTGTTTCAGAAATGATCTGTAAGACTTGACTTTTCTTCAGTAAAACAAAGGTTATTATGAGTCTATGACAGATTGCTGAAATGTGTAAAATAAAAAATGTACGTTCTCAACCAAAATGGCAGCATTTTTCTCTCGAATTAGAAAATCACTTGTTGTCAGAAAAAAAAAAGTACTTACAAAAATAATGGTTTCCCAATAAAAAGGATTATGTACAGCCTTTTCCAAAGAAACTATGGTAAAGTATATATTTGTGGATGAGTCCAAGTAACAAATGCCAACGTAAACTTTGACTTTGAGGCCGATCAAATCGATCTTCTTTCAAGTTTGCAACTGAATTTGTGAAGTGTGATATAATATGCAACGTTTGTATGTATTAGTATGTTGTGTAGTAGAGAGACTCTTGTTTATAAAAACAATGTTTGGTTTATTCGGATTGTCATTTTATTCTTCGGATCTTTAGTCTTCGCTTAACGTCTCGTGCATGTCTCCTCAAAATCATCACCCCCAATAGATTCAATATTTTTAACCAATATCAAACAGTAAAAATGATATGTGCTATAGATTTAATATTCAATATCAAACAGTAAAGTGACCAGCACCTTACACCTAATTTGTTGAATGTATTTGTTATAAGTATGGAAAATATAGTTTCGTAGACAGGTTGATTTGTCGATTTTAGTTTATACTATTTTAAGAATGGAGCTCCACACAATTTTATAATCACCATCTGTCGACTACTTTATTAAGTGTCACAGGTTCACAGCTTTTGTGGAAAAGAATCCGTTAATTCATCAGCCTTTCAACATGTTCACGCAATACTATAATTATTAAGTTAACTTTTGCGGCTAATTTTAGAATTAACGTACGATAACTGATCACACGCTGATATGTTCTATAGCTCAAATTTGCAATATAAAAAGTTAAAGTTAACTAATCAGGAAATTCATGTGGTCTAGTGATAAAAGAACCCAGTGCATATGTAGAGTTCACTTGCTCTCGTTTCAGATTCTTTTATTTTTTTGTTTTGATTTTTGAAAAAACTAAAGAAAATCCTGTTAGAAAAACTATTTAACGATTACACTCATCTGGAGGAATTAGCCTGATCTTGGTCTGGATTTCCCTTTGGTAACATATCATAAAAACTAATTAAAAACTTTACTCAACCCCACATTTAATAAATAACGAAGTACTCCTACATAATTACTGATAACATTAAGTACATGTATTAATGCATATGCATACCCTAGTTAAGTTGGATAAAGAAAACAATCAAATCTTACGAAAAAGCAGTCCCTTCCAAATCCCAAAAAGAAAAGCATGCATTTCGTAATAAACAACGCACTGATTCTGTTTATATCTTCTACCTTTATCATACACAACACTAGTTAAACGACACGAAATTCAAAACACAAACACATTAATTTATTAAATCATTCTCTTAATAACATAGTAACAAAAACATTTTCTAGAGAATTTCAAAAAGCAAAGCACCACCTTATCATCTATATATTCAACCCTCGTCCATTCACATCTCTAAGTCCATAACTAAAACACCTCACAATCTCATATATCTAAAAACATATCGAAAACCCTAAACACACAAACACGTTGTTGAAGCTAGCAGAGATATTTATAAATTTAAATAATGTCGTCGGGAGGATTCTCCATTAAAGCTGTAGGAGGTGGAGGAACGGGGACAAAATGTGGACGGTGGAATCCGACGGTGGAGCAAGTGAAGCTTCTGACGGATCTTTTCAAGGCGGGGCTACGAACACCGAGCACCGATCAGATTCAAAAGATCTCGACGGAGCTGAGTTTCTACGGTAAGATCGAGAGCAAGAACGTTTTCTATTGGTTTCAAAACCATAAAGCTAGGGAGAGACAAAAGCGTCGTAAAATCTCCACCGTCGACTTTGATCATCGTCAAGATACAGATCTCTCTCGTCCTCACCGAAACAACCTACGTCATCGTCAAGCACCACCTAAAGGTAAATTTTGTTTTGTCGTCTACAATTCACACATCATGTAGATCGATCTAAAGTTGGGTTAGTGATGAAATGTATAATTTATTTCATTTTTCTTGTAGACATATTTGACGTTTCTGAAGAAGAAAAGGTAATAGAGACGTTGCAACTCTTTCCATTATCTAAGGTTGAGAGAGTGAGAGCAAATGTTACTGTTGCGAGCCACAAAGAATACATACGAGAGCAGGCCAATACGACGGCGTTCTCCACGTACTCATCATGTGGAGCTGAGATGGAACATCCTCCGTTGGATCTCCGATTAAGCTTTCTATGAATGGGTTTGATAATATCACGACTCTGGTAGATGAAGACATGAGATCGCATGTATTTAGAACTAGCAGCTAGATTTTGGTCTATTCACGAGTAATGGAATTAGGTATTTAGGTTGGTTGGCAAGACTTCTAAAGATTTTCCTTTTTCTATGTACGACTTTCAGAGTCGCAGTGAGATTATGATTGTCCTTACCATGCGATTGGGATTAAGAAAATTTCTACTTGTAACAATATTAATTAACTCTAGCTAGCTAGTCGTCACATGCATGAGTCGTTAATTATATTGCTGTCACATTCTTGAAGAAAATTTCCCGTGAACCTATTTTTTTGTTCATCAATAAATTTACTTTTTCAAGTGTCCTAAAAACTAAATCAACCATATCGAACATTTAGACAAGACATTTCAAATTTTCAAGTTCTCGAACATTTGTCTAGGCGATCGAAAATAAATTAGACAAGACATTGCGATTTTGACCATAGCAACCGAAAAAAGGAAACTCTACCAATATAAACGAAGAACAAAGGCCTTTCAAATTGGGCTTAACAAAACACAGGCCCATATTATCCCTTTTACAAATAAAAAAGAAGAGAGAGAATAAAAAACAATTTGTGTTTTCCTGGAGAAGAAGAAAACTTTAAGCTCACCGGAGAAAACCAGATCGGAAACTAGAGTGTTTTTAAATCCTTCCCGGAGAAGTAGAATACTAGTGGCGAGGTTGATTCTGCGAACATGGATGTGATTAAGACGCAACAGATATCCGCGAGGACGATCGAGAAGGTCATCGTTCATCCACTCGTCTTGCTTAGTATCGTCGACCAATACAACCGCGTCGCCAAGGACTCGCGCAAGCGTGTCGTCGGCGTTCTACTCGGAAGCAGCTCCCGTGGTACCGTTGACGTCACCAACAGCTACGCAGGTTCGCCTTAAATCCTTTCCTCTCCTTGTCCTCGATCTGACCGCTTAGTCTTCTTCCCAGATCTCAGATTCTATTTAGGTCTTTGATATATGGAATTCGATCCTTTTGGGTATTCTCATGTTAAAATTTAGACGCTCTCATTCATATTCGTATCTGGGTTCTAGCGAGGTTTATATAGAGCAGCAATATATGGTTCTTCGAGCTGTTCAATAGAGTTCTCTGGCAAAATTGTGCTTTTTGTAATACAGTCTGATGATTATTTCAGTTAGCTCACTTTCTCGTTAGGTTTTGGATTCAATCGAGCTCCGTTCTACTCTTATTTTTGGAATTTCAATTTTACTTGGATCTAAGAGAAAAAGAAAGATTAGGTTGATTATTTGGATGTGTGAATTGGTGCTTATCTCTAGACATTGTCACTAGGCACCTCTTTAATAAATACTTGTTGCGTACATACGACTTGTTTGACAATTGGCACCTTGATTTGTAGTGCCCTTCGAGGAGGATGACAAAGACCCAAGTATCTGGTTCCTTGATCACAACTACCATGAATCAATGTTCCACATGTTCAAGAGAATTAATGGTATGTCTCGGGAATCTGATGCTTAGACCGTATGACAACCATTTTTTTTAACAAAAACTGTTTGCTTTTCAGCCAAGGAGCATGTTGTAGGATGGTACAGCACAGGCCCTAAACTTCGAGAGAATGATTTGGACGTTCACGCCTTGTTTAATGGGTTAGTTTTCAGCTTAGTCATTCAAATATCAATTTATTGGCCTTTATCGTATGTTCTGTTGACATGGGAGCTTGATCTAGGATATGCTGGTCCGTTTTGAGTTATGATAAAGTATTTTGTTGCCAGAAAGCCGTTTTTCTTTCTCTCCTTACATTTTCTTGTAGCTTCTGTTTCATTTACAATGAAGCTTTGTTTTGCTTCTGGTGCTGCAGCTATGTTCCAAACCCAGTGTTGGTCATTATTGATGTCCAGCCTAAAGAACTTGGAATACCCACAAAAGCTTACTATGCAGTGGAGGAGGTCAAGGAGGTAAGATACATACCCTTCCGAATCTTGTCCATTTTGTACAGTTGTATACTTATATTTGATCATGCTGATTAAATACTTGCTTGTCTCTTCAGAATGCTACTCAGAAAAGCCAGAAAGTCTTTGTTCACGTGTCTACAGAAATTGCTGCCCATGAAGTCGAGGAAATCGGTAAGTCCAAAATGGGAAAACAAGTCCTTCTGTGGTTTGATCACCTTGGTTTGGTGTCTAAAAATGTCTTTTGTGATTGCCTCTGATGAAAGTCTTCTGACACTTACCTGCTTCATTCTCGTCTTGTACAGGCGTGGAACATTTGCTCAGGGATGTGAAAGACACAACAATCAGTACCCTGGCAACTGAGGTACGTGTCTTTACAACACTTGAGCGTTACATTAGCATTCCTTGACATGTTTGCTGAAATCATGATGCTCTAACAAGAAGATGCGTTGTCGATTTTCTTTTTGCAAGTTATCTTATGAACAAGACTAGTTTCTGTGTTAGGACTGGTATCATGTGTGTTGTGTATTGCACCAGGTCACTGCCAAACTGACTGCTTTGAAGGGGCTGGATGCACGTCTTCGGGAGATCCGGAGTTACCTTGACCTTGTAATCGATGGAAAGCTCCCTCTAAACCATGAGATTTTGTACCATCTTCAGGTTAGAACTTGCATATTTTGACTTAGAGTTCTGATTCTACCAAGTATGGTTGAAATTTTGTGGACATTGTCCAATTCTCTACTTTCGTGTATTACCTAATGAATTATTCCTCTTAAAAACTATAGGACGTTTTCAATTTGCTTCCTAACTTGAATGTGAACGAGCTCGTCAAGGCCTTCTCAGGTGAGTTTCTGCCGTCAATTTTGTTACTATCGGGATGTTAATCTTGAAGCATTAGTTTTACTTCACTTATGATGTGCAGTGAAAACAAATGACATGATGCTCGTCATCTATCTATCATCCCTCATACGGAGTGTGATTGCCCTCCACAACTTGATTAACAACAAGGTTAGATCCAGCATCATATATCTGAAATGTTTCTGGCCTTTGCTTCACTGTTGAGATGTCTAATTGTGATAACATGATGTGATTCACTGTTTGTAAACATAATTCTTGGGATGGATGATATGTTTCAGTTGCTGAACAAGGAACATGAAAAAGCAGAGGACTCAAAGCCCGTGGCCATACCCGCCGCCAGCTAAATCATCATTGTATGTTCTCTCTCTCTCCCAAAAGAAAGTGACAAGTCCGGTAGGACGAACGAGTTTAGTTTGGTCTCTTTCCGAGTTTTTAAATTCTCAGTTGTTCTGATTCAGAGTGTGTCAAAAAAGTCTTTACTGGTTATTTTTCAAGTTGGTTAGGAGTTGCCTTTTGTTGAGGGGGTTTAAGATGATACAACAGTTTCACCTTAATGTGTCGAAATCTCCACATAAGGGTCATTATTATTATCCTGTTGAAATTCTTAAGAGCATTTTACACTTGTCAACCAACAAGAGTTTCAAAGGCACATTTGGTCCCATCTCCTCTTTAGAACCGACTCTGATTAGGCCAAGTATGAGTTAGGGAATCGTATATTGTCAACGTAAAAACAAAACAGCCATTATCTTAAAAAGTAGTATTGGTCGTAACTGGGTCCTGCTAAGTTGCGCTGCAACATACTGCTTGTCCAAAGCTTGATGGTGTGGTCATGTGATGCACTTGCAATACAGGAGTCCAAATCAAGCTCCTGTATAAAATATATACTATTCACTGTTACTCAAGATAACCACCTTTTCTACTGGTATAAATGAAAAAATGCACACACTGACAAACATATAGGTTCTTTATTAAAATACCTTTTGAAACCGGAGCTTATACAAAGCAAATGTTCCACTTGTTACTAAACTGCTATTCTAAGGACACCCTTAATATTTAAAATCTTTAACAATTTTGAGGGAGCAAAGGGTTGGTGCAATAGGTGAAAAAATGTGATTCTTTGGACCGAAAGTGGAATGCAGACTCAGCTTTCTAATTATATACCCGTAACCACTTAGTGGTCAGCTTTGCCACTCATACACGCACATACAATATATATATTCACCTCACTTTTTATTCCGTACTAGTTTACATAAAGTTTGATACATTATTTGGTTAATCTTTACTGGAAAACGCATATTAATTTTACTTCAACAATCGTGTCAATCTCATTTCTCATATCTTCACCTTTCGACGTCTGATCATGTAACTTGAGTGTCTAAGGAACAATATGTTTTGTTGTACAGCTCTTTTTAAGTACCGCAGTGGTCGGAAAAGTCCAAATAAGAACCGATATACTCTTCATCTAGTAGAGAGAAAGAAAGAAAAATCTGAATTTGTTTGGTAAAAATATCAAAGGTCTTTTATAAAAAAAAAATGTATCTAAGGTCACACAAGAACCATATAAATTAATATATAAAAAAAGTATCAGACAATAGCATATTCAAAATTAAATAAACCTCTTGAAATGCCATGAAAACCTCCTTTAACAAAAAAAATGTCATGAAAATCTACTTTATTTGAGTAGACTGTAGGTTTGTGTGGCTTAAAAAAGACTATTCTCCTGTTCGAAAAATATCTTATAGATTCAAAAGTATAAAGCAGATTTAGTCCCTAAATTTTGCGGTCTACAAGAAAAGCTAAGAATTAATCACCATCTTTGATTTAAATTGAAAAACAAACATTTGTGTACACTAACGCGATCACTTTGAAAAAAATAAACATGGTAAAATTTGATAAATGTAATGAACATTAAAAAGTAGTATAATCACGTAAAAGCGTGAATAAGCAAGTGGTATACTAATTCATCACTTTAAATTTTTGATAAAATGTTTTGGGTTTGATTTCAAAGAAAATGACCGACCGTTAAAAGTTGCAAGTAAAGCCATATACTGTGTATATAACCCCACCAATTGGTCCTTTTCACAATCGTCGTTTTGGCAAAAAGACGTGGACATATATACTAGCTAATCTTCTAATCTTTGTTTATTCCGTAAACATATTCACATAGTCCAATTCAACTAATCATGTAACATTAATATTAAGTCTAACCATAAAACATAAGTGTAACATAAGTTACATAACCTTCTAGGCCGTTTAACCATAAAACATAAGTCCCGGGATTTCGTTAATTAAGTGCAATAATTACAATTTCAAAACATTTTCTTTCGCTTCTTTTAGAACGCAGAGTTTCAGGATCTTGTGATACAGTAAGTTCCGTCGCCGTAAGCATTTGTTCCGGTGAAGTTAAAGGCAGAATTGTAGGGCGACAAGGCCGAAGAAAGCTTCTGACCAAGAAACATCACTCCCTCCACATTATCACGATCTGTGAACCCTAGTTCTGGCCCAGCCGGTTGAGAGACAGAGAAGGCGCTATCAGACGATGGACGGTTGAGATTGGTCTTGAGAAGATTGACGGTGGTGATATCGTGAATGCTAGGCCGGCGTTTGTCTTTGGCCCCGGAGACCTGTCTCTGGTAGTATTTTTGGGCATGGCTCGCCACTTGGGTCGGCGTTTTCGATCCCACAAAGTTCCTCGATATGTTTCTCCAATCGCCTTTCCCGTACTTGAGAAGCCCTAACAAGAATCTCCTGCAAAGAACAAAACCATCAACAAACCACGAAATCACAGTAGTTACTTTTGACTCAAGTAACCCAAAAGAGTAACTTGTTATGCAAGTTCGAAGGGGTTTTTTTCACCTGTGTTCTTCCTCTGTCCATGGAACTCCTTTTCTGCGCTCTTGATCAAATCCTCTGACTCCACTAGGCTGTTTACGATACAAATCAAAGTCACGAGGACTCACGAGCTGATCTAATCCACATGGAGTAGCTGAAGGGTAACCGGGGATGGGGACAAGTCCTGCTTCGATATCGAAGAGGTCTTCTTCTAGCTTAGAGTATTGACTCATGACATCTGAGATGGTTTTGCCAGGGATCATAGAAGCAACTTTGGACCAGCGGTCAGGCGTGTCATCAGAGTAGATAGCTAGGGCTCGCTCAAACTTTTTGTTCTCTTCTTGAGTCCAGCTTGAGCTTTGCAAGCTCACCATCTCTTGAACTACGAAGCGGGGGTTAGAAGTGGGCACGTGAGAGAGTAGTGGATGCAGAGTCTCCATCGTTTAAAGGCTACGAGGGGAAAGTTTAACCTATAAAGTAATTAGCATATTTTTCTCTAATATTTTTTGGAAGCTTCAGGCTTAATTATGTTTAGAGACGTTTTATAAAAATCTAATGATAAATAGGAATCAAAAGGGCAAAAATAACAAATAGTATAGTGACGGAATCAAAGAACCTGATTTGGTTTGAAGTTTGAGCATAAATTGAAGAATCTTGAAAAAAAGACTTCAACTTTGAAGGATCCTGAGAATCTGCAAAAGTGGGTCGTCAGAGGAAGACAAAACAGGCGAAACCCAGATGGTAGCTAGAGAGAGAAACAATACGAAACAGTGCAGAAATTGAAGAGAGAAAGAAAGAGATGGTGAAGCAAAGGGCAAGAAGAAGAAGGTTTTTGTGGTTTGTAATATAGAAATGGAGAAAGAGAGAGAGAGAGAGAGAGAGAGAGAGAGAGAGAGAGAGAGAGAGTGTGTAAATGTTCTAGCCAATGGAACCACTCCACTCTCCTAGTTGGCTTCAATTTATTCTAAGATGATTCTTTAGAGTGACCTATAAATTGACTCAAATAATTAAAGTAACAATAAATCTATAAAAATGAACTTATTATTAGGCCAACATTTCACATCCTTCCAAAATTTTGATAACCACTAAAATTCAACGTTTTTTTGTTGTTAGGTAGTTTTTTGTAATATTGTTCCAAAATAAATTGACAACACATAAAGTTTTCTTATTAAATGATAGTTTGCATGTTATACGTCGGCTTTGTGTGTCAGTCTATGGGTATATGACTAGTTTTAAAACTCTAAACATCAAATATCTAGTTTTGCTTTCGATATATCATTTATGTATGGTGAGCAAGCTTCATGCCCGAAATTGAATGATTTACGCGGATTATTCGAATATGGTAGAATCGAAATGGAAACGGTAGCAACTTTAGGTTTATGGCAGAGAGTCTAGAGACCATCATCGTGTCACCACGCGTTTGTTATTGTGTACATTTTATAAGGCTAAATTAAAGGTTATTCGAGATAACATATACGTCAAAACTTAATGTCACTTTATTCTTTGTATTACGTATAGATTTTGAACGGAGAACTTCATTTTTATAAGAGATTTTGGCTAGAGATCATAAGCCGCCGACGTAATCTACGTAAGCGTTTGTAGCTCAGTGGATATGTGAGAATCGAGTCAGTATTACGTATTTAACTTCTAAATGATGATTTGGTATACGTAAGCGCCTGTAGCTCAGTGGATAGAGCGTCTGTTTCCTAAGCAGAAGGTCGTAGGTTCGACCCCTACCCCTGGCGCGATTTATGTTTTGCAGAGCCTAATGGAGTTTATTGATTTGTTTTATTGGAAGACCAAATAAGAAAAAGAGTGGGCCTGGCCCTAAACACTTTAAAAAGGGGGTTATTAATTATTGGGATGCGACTAATTACCTTTTTTCCCACTTTGGTATAGTTTTTGTCAGCACTCTCGCTTTATTTCACCTTTTTTTCTTCTCAAAAGCTCAAAAGGTTCTTTCACACTGCATTGCATTTGTCGGTGGCTCCTTGGGTAAGAAAACGAATCATTCGTGCCAACCGTCCAAACTTGTGTGCGAATACATGGAAATATTACTTTCTCTAAAAAAACAAAAAAAAATATATACATTGAAATTTGAGCACATTTTGAAAATTGTCTAACGAGACACAGAACTCACAACAAAACTGAAAGAGAACAAGCAATCCTACCACATTCTAGACTCTAGAGTACACCAATTACAACACCAAATTTTAAAAGAAATAACACAAATCTTAGTTTGTAGTAAGTGGGGTTTGACTTGATTAGATTTTTAAAACTTAGACTTTATGTAGTTATGGTGGAATATAATATTGGACATGGTTGATGGATAACCTTTTTTAACTCAAATCTACGATTTAGTCATATAGTACACTTGTCACACATGACACTTGGAGAAATTGACAATTCAGGTTTAGTTCCATTTTCCAAAGGGTCCTTATATATAGATGGAGAATTAGCTCCACCTGTTTATTCCCTCCATAAATCCAATGAAGCTAACAAATAAAAGAATTCATTTTGGGTATAAAGAAACAGTAAAAGATCAAAAACCTAAGAAAGCGCAGCAGATTGAAGTCTCTGCAACCATGCGATCCTCAAGCTCGGCTTCTTCAGCTCTAAGAAGATCTCTCTATACTCTCTCTTCAGGAACTGATCCAACGCAAACAAGTAGAGCTCACTTCCTTCCTCCACTTCTTTCATCGCATCCAGGCTCTCAATGCACTCTCCGATACAATACATCCGCTTCGCCGATCCTATCTCAACGCATACCGGACTCTCCTGCAGCATACCTTCACTCATCAACTTCACAACATCCAGTGGCTGACCGGCCTCACTGTCCATCATCAGATTCGCTTCATCTTGTGGCGACTCACAAGAACGACCTCGGAGGTGCTTCTTGCGCGTAGGAGGAGTGTATGTCTCTCCTGGCTCTATCACTCCACTGAAAATGATGGAGAGTTTATCAGCATGAGGAACTTCCTTGTGCCGGAACTGTCCTGCTCTTGGATTCTCCTGTCATAAACCAAAGAGAAACGTTCCGTGAAAGATCCAAATGGATAGAGACTAGAGACTACAATAACATTTTATCTATCATACATACCTGAATATAGGCTCGCCATTCGTCTTCAGTGGCACCGAAACTACGAGTCTCCGGATCCCATTTCATGCTACTTTCTCCAACAAGCTGACACCAGATCTTCCAAGACTTCCTAGTGCAATCCCAGTGGTTCTTCAGCTGCGCTCTTGTATATCCAACGCTCACGTTCTCATTGATCGTCTCGAGAATGGTCTTCCACCCTTTCTTGTTAAAATGTGTGTCAGGTCTGTTTCCCTTCTCAGTCTCTTGCACCAACAGGTCAAGAAACAGCTCGTGCGTAGAAGGAGACCAGTACCCTTTTGTTTGAGGGTTAGATGAGCTACACATGCTTTGGTTATCTTCTTCTTCATCATCATCTTCTTGAAAACTCCTTAGCCTCTTCCTCACACCCAAAACCTCATCATCTTCGACCTCTACGTTACTACCACCTTCAAAGAGAACCGTTAGCTTCTCCAGATCTTGTGGAACACTACACCGATACTGCCCTGCATCAGGATTCTCCTGTAATCACCATTTTAAGCCTTAAGAACAAACACCATATCTCAGAAAAACAAAATTTTGTTTAGTAAAACTCAAACCTGTAGATAGTAAGCCCATTCTTCGTCACTCGCACCAAAAGTGTTGGTCTCAGGATCCCAATTCATATAGCTGCACTGAACGAGCCTGCGCCAAATTTTCCACTGCCTGCTCATTGTATCCCAATGGTTCTTAAGCTGCATTCTATCGTAAGTCACGCCCGTCTGCTCCTGAAACGATTTCAGTATGTTCCTCCAACCTTGTTTTGAGAAATGCGTTCTTGGTTTGTTCCCTTGCAACGTTTGCTCTACGCATAGGTCGAGAAACACTCTGTGGTAATCTGGCTCCCACACTGCTTTTGGCCTCATCTTTCTCCACTTACCTTTCTCTAACTTTTCACAAAATTCAAAGACATTTCATTAGTGTACACACAAATCCATAAAATACATTTGCATAAGCTTAACTTAAATATTCAAGAGATTGAACACAAATCATAAAGGCAAACTGAATTTGTAAAAATGGTGAAACCGATTAGCTCCTAAAGTTGCTGACAATGTACGAAATCTATGGATGGCTAACGTAATCCCACTATCATATGAAACGTGTTTTATGGAAAAATATGGTTTTTATTGTTCCCCTGCTTCGTTATCCCTTTAATCGAACAAGATAAATGAGGGAATGAGCACGAAACCCTAATTCGAGTAATCGGAGGATTGGAGAATTACGATAACGATTAGAACATCAACGGCCGTAATTGGGACGTTGCAGAAACAGAACGGGGAAACGTTACCGGGAATCCGATAGAAACGCGACAGCGATTGAGTGGCGACACTGTGACGGTGTGGCTGAAGAAGCCGATCGCGATTTTTCCTCGCTTGCTCTGTTTTTTTGCGTTTGTCCGCAGTATATGGAGTTGCAAGGTTTTTTAGAATTGTGGGCTGGGCCGAATCATTTGGACCAATCAATTAGACCACCTCATTTTCATTTCCTGGTAACTCTCTGATAGGTGAACCGGATTCAGACTGGTTTGTGTTGAGTCCGGTCCACATTTTGTCTGATTTTGACACGCTTTAGATTTCGTATGCCTTCCGCTGGTTTGTATGAGTCTTGATGGACTTGAATTCTGTGTGGGCTGAGCTGGGTCCACTGCTGATTTCGATTCGATTAAACTAAATTCGACTTTATCGAGATAATCTGAACTTATGAAGCTGTTCCAATCAAAAATATTAAGGTACTATGGGCATGAGAGTATATATTATCTGTGGGGAAGGGTGTGACCACGATAACCCATATTAATAGCTTTAAATGGTGCCGACCAAATAATAAATAACATTTGCTTTTAAATGGGCCGTTGCGTATAAATCCAGATACAAAAATTATGGAAACTGGTCCAAAAGATTACATAATTTTTAAAAATAAATTATTGGCTTCAGCTCCCAAGAAATACAGTTCCTCGTCGTCACTAGGGGAACAACCTGCCTTGTATTCAGAATTTATTGGCTTCATATGACGTAAACGTTGCGAGTGCGAGTGATTGACGTATAAGTGATTACATAGCATAGCTCGGAAACAAATAAGATCCTAGTAACTTGCTTTAACATTTTTGATCTTTTAGCCATCATCTTGCTCGTGTTTTTTCCAGTATACTCTTACAAAAGAAATAAAGGAGGATATATGGCTTGAAAGTGTGACTTTGAAAAGTCGAAATTCTACAGATTCCAAGGGTTGTTATGTTGTCTAACGGTTAAAGTGTGATTGCATTCTTTAAACGTTTACATAAAGGCATCGCGATAAAACAAAATACACATGACTATAGGATATTAACATCTCATTACCTTTGTCTGAAAGTTCCAAAAAATCTGCAGTATTCCACGAACTTATACTGTTATACACTTGAAACATCTGTTAAAAGGAGCTAACTAAACACATGCAATCACTGCATGAAATCAACCTCACACTAGTCACTACTATATTGAATTACAATATCATCATTGTCCCTACTAATTTCCATAATAAATTCTCGACTTCTTTTATAAAAATGTTGGTTAGTTCCTCTGCTAAAATCAATTAAAGCCGTGAAAGATGAAAGAAGGAGTCATGTTTTTAATGCATACACTTTGTCCTTACTCACTTTGTTTTCTTTCCCTTTAAAATCTCTCTCTCTCACACTCAGAAAAGTGTCTCCCTTATTTCCAGGCACTTAAACAAAAAGATAATACAAAACCATTTTTAAGTCGAAAAACCTTCTCTTCCAACCATAAGCCTTTTACCCATGGCGGCTTCTTCTTCTTCCTTGCCTCTTCTCTTCTCTCTTCTCTCTCTTTTCTTCCTCAATTTCTCACTCGCTGACAATACCACGGCGGTTGTTATAACAAACCCAGTTGCTCCGCCACCACTTCCGCCGCCTTCTCCACCGCAGCGGCATAACATCACTTCCTCATTCATGCCCGGAATCGCTGTCGTCATCGCCGTCCTAACCGCAGTTTTCTCCCTCACCTTCTTGCTCCTCCTCTACGTCAAACACTGCAAACGAAGAAACGGCAGCGTTTACGACAACCATCCGCAGCGTTTCGCAATCTCCAGATACGGAGGAGGATATAACGGTGGTGGAGGAGGTAGGAAAAATTCCGGTATAGACCGGTCCGTCATCGAATCTCTACCGGTTTTCCGGTTCGGTGCATTGAGCGGTCACAAGGAAGGGCTCGAATGCGCCGTGTGTCTCGCTCGGTTCGAACCGACTGAAGTTTTGAGGCTATTGCCCAAATGCAAACACGCCTTCCACGTGGAGTGTGTTGACACGTGGCTCGACGCTCACTCCACCTGCCCGCTTTGCCGTTACCAGGTCGACCCGGAAGACATTCTCTTGATCGGCGATTGTAACTCCTGGTTCGAGCTCCGTTTTTCTAAAAGCCAGGTGGAATCGAACAGTAACACTCCTCCCGGAGCGTCCCGTTTTGTCCCGGTGAGTCGGATCTCGGGTCGGCATTCGTCGGCTGGGGAACGAGCGAGTCGACTCCACGAGATTATAACGGCTTCTACCTCTAAACCGAATCCGATTTCGTTTCGAAGATCGCTTGATAGCTCATTGAGGACTAACGACGGCGAGGAGAAAACGGAATCTGTTGCCGTCGGATGCTTAGACCGTCCACAGAGAAAAGACGGATTGTTATTAATTCCGAATCGAGAAAGCTTGGAAGGGAGATTCGAACACCGGATAATAATCTCCGGCGGGAATAAGGACCAGAGATGGAGCGAAGTGAGGCCATCCGATCTTCTTTTCTTACGATCGGAGATGATACTCAGTGATTGCCGGAAACTAGCAGCCGTGGAGGATGGCAGAGACGTAATAAACGGGAGAAGCGTGTCGGAGTTAACGAGCATTGAGAGACGGAGGAGATGGGGAGGAGAGCCGAGACAACGACAAGCCACGGCGGTGATTTCGAGATGGCTCGCTTGGTCCCACCGTGCCTCCGCGTCCAGCATTGTTTAAAAATTGTTTTTAGGTCCTTTTAGTTTTGTTTTATAACAGTTTTGGCCCTAAATTAATTTAGTCATAGAAATGATGAAATGAGAAAAAAGCAGTGCAACAATGGCAGGTAGGACGAAAATTAAAAAATCGAATTTTGCAGTTAAGTTATTATAGATGCACGAGTGCGAGGAAACACAAATCTTTTCTTTTTGTATTTTAATTTTGTTGAAATTACAAGGAAAGGAAAAGGCTGAGTTTTAAATTAATGTCTTGGTGGAATAAAGGGCGAGTATTGGGGATCTGATAACTGAGTTTATTTTACTCGCATTAGTATATTTTAAAATTAAAAGAAATGGTTCCTATTATCTTTTTATATAACTCTGAAACATTATGTGTTTGCAAAACATTTTACTAATTAGTTATCTACTGTTAACATAGAATAATCAATAGTTATATTAGCTCTCTGTGTGATTTTTTAATATAATATTGGTGATTTGGACTCTACTCTTTCTAACTTTATAGCATCAAAATATTCAGAAGCCTTTCTATATTATTTTTGGGTCCTCAAAAGAAGGTTCCAAAACAAATTTTGACATAAGACAACGTTCTGACACAACTCATGATCCATCCACATACCTCTATGATTGTACATAGAAAATATACATCTTTTATTAATCACGTAAGTAATCACATGAAACCTTATGTACAATTTGATTATCTCGATATGTTCCATACTTTCGAAAACAGTCCTAGTCGTATCTTTATGTAAAAACCACGAAATGTCCAATTCAAAATTTAACTCATGATTTTAGTAGTGAGACCACATCTCTTTCTATGAGATTTTTGGGAAGGCGCGATTTTAATTACTTTTACATATTTTTGTCACCTTTTCTATATATGGAGTATTGTGTTTTTGTTATTACGAAAGCAAAGAAGTCATAACGTGCAAGTAGAGAACTCATTTCCGAATTGAAGTATGTGGCAGATCATTTACTCCTAAAGTGATTTTAGAGTGATACAACCAATTGGGTATACAATTAATAAGATGATACATCTCCTTGACTACTTTAAATATTTGAAATAATGATATTTCTTGCCATGACTTTACAACTCATCATCATTTCCAAGTTCCAACATTCTCAAATAATTTATTTATTGTTTTATTATTCATTTTGGTGGGTTTTCGACAGCTGATCTTGTTCCTTGCTCGTAACTACCCATAATAGCTTGATGTTGAGAAAAAGAAAGAGAAAAAGACGTAGTAGCAGCACAATAGTACCGGCAAAATTAAAGTAGAACACGTTTGGTTTGTACAACTAGAGCAACCGATGTAGCTTGGATAATTAATTTAATCAAAATCATAAAAAGTAAGCAAATTGTTAGCAAATTGTTGCGATCTAATAGTTTTCCTTTATTGATAGATCAACATATTTGTCCATCGTGTTTAACATGACAGATGTGGATCGTACACGGTTAGTATCGTTTTGAAAGAAATCAGATAAATTAATAAATAAGTGTGATATAGAAAATTATAACTCGTAAGAAAAAACCTCAACGAAAACTTTATTAAAAAAACTTGCATGAATTCCACAAAAAGAGGAAAATCACTATATAGAGGCAAACGCATATGTCACATGAGACTTTTACTTAAAATGTTATCCTAAACAGTACATTTGTGATTTTTATCACAATAATTATTGTTGTCATTTACATTTTATATTGTTTTGTTTGGACTTACTATCGAATAAGATGGAAATGGTTGAAGAAGTTGCCCATTTGTTAATTACATGTCGAAAGAAACTGTTAATAGATGGATAAATAATTAAAATCTCACCAGCAGGGACACATAAAGGAGAACATTCCATGTGGTCTTTGCCTGTGTTATCGCATGTATAGTCCATCTTATTCATTACTAACCATGGAAAATGACATTTTCAAACAAGAATAAAACGAATTTATTTTGTCTACTAGCCCTTGCCAGAATTTCATTTGCATAACGTTACTATTCTCCTCCAAATTTCGCCGGTTTTTAACGTAAAAAGAAAAGTTTTTGGTACTCACTTCGAAATATGATTTTTCTTTTAACCATTATCCATTTGTAGGAAAATTGAAGAATGGAGTTCCATAAGAATATGGGCATACCAGCTCTTGGGAAAGAAATAAAATAATTTGAAAGCAGACTACAAAATCCAAAAGTGCTGACAAATCAATGGTCAAGAAGATGTGGGCCACGATGGAATCTTTGAAATTAGCAGAGTTCAGAGCTGCAGAGTCACTAGATATGTCAAGAGAGTATAATCACACTTGCATCTTGTGCATAAATACTAAACAAAGTTTTGGAGTATGTCAGTAGAATTTTATATCAAATCACTGAGTTAATCCAAACATTATGAACAAGTGAAACCCTTGGTCAACAAAATGAGTGTCCTTAGGATAAAAGCGTAGATACGTCGTCGTCGTGTGTGTACATCCTGGTTCCCCATCATCATCTTCCTCCAAAAGAAACCTTCCTTTTCAATCTCCATTTTACTTTTTCTCTTCTTGTTTCTCCATGAAAAGCCACTCGAGTACTCGAAAGAGTTTATAGACTCAACTGTCACGATCTCCAAGCTTTTTTACCTTTTCCTTTTCTTTTCAGTTTTTTTTTTCTTGTCAAACTAGTAAGCAGTACTGTTATATTTATACGTAACCAATTTACTCCAACATCTTTTGCCTTTTTGGTTCCTCTCCTTTCCATCTCTCTCCAACCCCATTTTTTGCCAAATGGCGTTTTCATCTCTCTCCTGAATTTCAACTCTTGCTTTTTCTCTGTCGAGAGTTATTGTCACATACCCACATTAGAAGTTTTGGATTTCAAGACTACGTGGGGTCTTTCTCCATCACAATCATGTTTCAGTTCTCTTTGTGATGAAACTGTTCTGTTTCCTTAGTGAATATTTGGGGTTTGGGAAGAAAGAATCTTCTTAAAAAGAACACATATCCCCAAGTTCGAACCTTACTCAATGTCTCAAGTTCCATGTTTTAGCCAGGATGTTTTAAAAGCCCTAACAGAGAGACTGAGCTTTACACATTTTAGTCAATAATTCTGAGAATTCATATGTATATTTTGGGTTGGCCTACTTGGTAATGCGTGGGTTGGATCATGAGAATGAGATATGCTGCAATGAAAATGAAGGTACAGCTTGATATGATAACGGCTGCCGTTTCCAGAAAAAGAAAATGAAGTCTGAGTGATTTGACATGAGAAAGACAAAGACAAGACTGTTCTCTCATTAGTAAAAAGAAAGAAGTCTCTCTTGTCTCCTTCTCTCTTTTAGCTCTTTCTTCTGCAACTGTTATCACTTGCAACTCTGATTCTCTGCCCTCTCTCTGTCACAACAGTTACTACACAGCTCTGTGTTCTGAACAGCTCACGGAACCTGTCACCTTGAGATAGCATCATAATATTGGATTCTCCAAGAATAACAACATCAAGCAAAGTAAATGGGTTTTAACTTTGAAGAAGAAGGACAAAAAAAGGAACTTTCTCTCTTTCGATTAATTAATCGGTGTTGTTGTAAATGTTGACATCAAGAAACTAAAAATGTAAAAGAATCAAAGAAACAAAAGCTAATTCAACGTTACTCTTAGAACAAACACCCTACGACGAAAGGCAACATAATCCCAAAGAAGAAAAATGAAAAAAAAGCAAAAAGTTACTTATTAATAGGAAGTCTTCTAAATTCTTGCCTTTGGCACTCATCTTTGTGTTGCTTTTGCTTCTGCGTGTGAATGGTAAAAAACATCCATGTTTTGGTCAGAGCTGTATGCTGTGTAAGATTTTGGTAACAGCAAAAGAGACTACTTGCCTGTGTTTCTGTTTCCACTGGAGAGAAAATATAAAACATATATATAGGGAGGAACGTTGATGAAGAAGAAGAAGAAACTCTGTGTGCTTGCTCTTCTCATTTGCTTCGTTTCTTGGCTTCGCTGTAGAGGATAACTCCAAAGACGGTAAGGGAGTAACCGAGCATTCCGGTCACTGAAACCGGATTCTTGAATATTAGAATAGAGACCACCACTGCTACTGCTCCTTTGGCGTTTCCTAGCACCTGTCACAGAGCCATCCAAAACAGAGTTTTAAACAGAACCAAGCAGGTAATCATTTCTCACTAGTTCTACGCCTTACTTGGACTGACTTTGTTCCAACCAAAACCAATGTCATATTTACTACCGTAAACAAGGATGCAATCAAGAACGTAAAAAGAATATGGATTGTGCAGTACCTGCAGAGTCAGGGCGCTAGTATGTTTCGTGACTAAGAAATTTGTCAAGTTGACGAAATAGGCGAGCGCTGAATTGAATAGCAGATACCAAACGATTCTGAAATCGTCTCTAGCAAGTGCAATCGTAATGCCGACGACATTTTTCTCCATGATAAGAGTAGCAGGCAGAAGGAACACAACAGCTATTGGAGCCATGTAAAGGAGGAGATTCATGGAGTTCAGCTTTTCCCTTCAATACAAATTTTAGAATCTTTTCAGCAACACTCTTTTAACATAGTCGAAACTATTGAACTCTAACAAGGACACTGAGACAAATGCCAGCCATTTCTT